GAAATGTCCTCGAACTGAAGCTTGTTCACCTTCTAGAGTGGTGATTTGTGAGTGCTTGCTGGGGAATGCTGCCGCATAAGAGCAGATAGCTCCGCTCTGCATCTCTTTTTGGTGGTTAGTTGAAAATATTGATCTGTTGCCATCTGAGGAATGATACTCGACCTTGGCTTCGAACGGCTTCATTGTTGAGTAACCTTGTCCGGCAATTCCACTGAAGCAATTAACCGTATTTAGCCACCGAGTGAATGATGGGTTATTCCACAGATCTGCCGCGTGCGTCTTCTCCAAGAACAAACGGTTTTCAGCTTCAGCCATTTCAGTCAGCAGACCGCCTCCCGTTGCTGATTTAAGTTCGGAGCAAAATAATGACACGAGATTGATGCTTTTTTAGAAGAAATTTACAATATACGATCACACCCAAGAAACAGGTAGTCTCGCGAGGGTTGATGTGATCCATTATTTGACTCCAAAAATCAAAGCTCTTGTTGACATGTCAAATCAATCGATATGTTGAGGATGTAAAACAAGCTACTTGCAACGTGACCCCTTTAAGGCATGCATAGTCAATACTTCCAAGCACGATCTTTTTTCTCGGTTCTTTCTCTTTCACAGGTATCGCATCTGCATCCCCTGACACCCTGACAAGGTGAGCCGGAAAAAGCCTGTCCTTGAAGGGAGTATTATAAAAGACATGCCACTGCCGTTCAAAATCTGCTCTCGCCGGATCAAACGCCTCCTCATCCTCGACAACTGAAACACTTTCCATCGTGTGCCCGATGTTGTGGCCCCTGTTTTAAATTTGATGAGTCATCAGGAGAATACTAGTTTTCATGAATGCAGACATGGGAAGTAACGAGTTGTCTTAGAGCAAATAAGCCTCGCCATGACGTTAACCAAAAGAGTTTGACAATAGCAGGCAAGTGCTGCATTTTGCTTAATGATACGTCAGTACAACAATGTCACTCTCTTTTTTGAATGCTGATGCTGGGGCAAGCTTATGTTAAAAAAATGCATCTAATATACGTCATACTGAATAATCAGCCAAGTAGACGATAGATGGATAATGACTTGAAATTTTGATTTTTGAAAAGCTAGCTAGTGAACGAATACAACCTATTCCGTGAACAGGCAACCCATTCGCGTATTCGGTCGTCTATCTTCTTCTCATTCCACCCCAAGCAACGCAAAGTTCGGTAGACGCCCTCTTTCAATCCTGTAGCCTGAGCATGCTGCGCGCATGCGCTGATTGTAGCTACTATCTGAATCCTTATTCCAGCTCGTTCGTAGTACTCGTTCATTCTGCGACACCAAGCGGCAACAATCCACATGGAAGGAAGTCCGCCCCTGTCCACGCCTAAGTTCAAGCGCAACCATTGAGGTGCCCTTTGCTCAACCTCCTTCTTTCCTGACATGACGTTCAACAAATGCAAAATGACGCCAATTGTTGCTGTTGCAAGCTTTGCCGAATCCAATTCTTCGCCTACGCCGACAGCTTCTTCTGCTTCAGATCGAAGGCCTTCACTTCCGCTTGCATTCAAGTCCATGCCTTGCAGGAGTAACATGTTGCTATACAGCATATCAGTTGCACTATTCGTGTCCAAGACAGCTACTGGCCCCATTCTCTTGATTTCATGCGTACGACGAACATCGACAAATCTTGGCTTCGAGACATTATACACTGCGTTCGCAGACGCTGTGTCCCACTCTGGAGAATCGTCTTCGTAAGTCAAGGTGCTCAGCATCGCGTACCATTTGTTTTTTCTATCCAGTAGCATCTTCTTCGATTTTCCGTCTAGTACACCGCACCCAGTCTCTATCTGTTTGGCGTTCTTCTTCGTTGGAGATGCAAAAGAAAGAAAAAAGCCATTCTCTTGCGATCCGTGCCTGTGGACTACATCTCGAGAAGCGTGACGCATCAAATTCTTGTTCTGGGCCGCAGGTGTACTGCTAGTCATCTCGTCGCCCATTTGCGAATTAACACAATGAAACTTGTTTGGTGATGAGAAGAAGTAGCTCATCTCGAGATTTTCAACCGATTCTGCGGCCTTCAACGCACGCTCGACACGTTTATTGCCCGTGTGTCCAGCTTCGCGATCAGCGACACCTCCTGTTTTATGATCATTGCTCTTGACAGCCCCACGATACTGGTGTCTGTTATCGCTTCCTATTGCCTGTTGACCGCTGAGAAGTGTTGTAGTCGACGTAGAGGAAGAAGGGAGGCCAGCAACGGTACCAGAAACGAGTCTCGAGTTGGGGATAGCCTCATCTGATGTGTCGCAACTTGAAAAAGTACCTGCTGAGGTAGTTACGATTTTGATCAGCTGCATTAATGACAAGCTCATCAAATATTTCGGTCTCGCCTATACATTGCCGTCGTTGATAAATAATGAACGACGCGACTTTTTATCAAATTACACATGCTTTTGCGAACAAAATCGGGAAACTGCAAGCACCTTGAAAAAACACCACAAGTGTCAAAATAAGCTACGGACAACCTCTTGTTGATTATTCGAATTTGAAAGGACCTCGAGGAAACTCACTTCTGAAGCAAAATCCCAAATATTGTGTAATTTTGATGATGAATGAAAATCAAAATGTACCACGCGACTGGTAATCTTTCAAGCTTCTTCCAGGAGCAGACTGAGATCGTTTCTTACGCAGTACCTTGTACTTTCTTAGGACACTAATTTTGACGCCTGCATCTGTTGCGTCACCTTTGATGCTCAGACCGACTCTGTTATGCCGCTTCGCAATTTGTTCTGCTTCCGCATCCATCGCTGTATTTGCATAAATGCAAGCCATGAGAAGATTCCGCCGTCCTATATCTGTCGTCTGGTACTCGTTTTGCATGAAAGCCTCGAGGCCAGCTTCGAAGTTGTCGCGTCCTCGTTGAACACGCTGCCCTTCGGCTAGTTCTTTTTTCAAAGCTTTAGCTGAAGCTGCAGCGTGGCCATCACCGTCCTGCCCTGGAGACAGTTCTCCAGCTGAGCTGCCCTGATCCGGATTATCTATCTGTCCACTCCTTTTGTTTGAAGAAGTAGATGTATTATTCTTGGAGGAATCTTGATTCCCATGGCCCTGCGTTGCATAACGGTAAGCGATGCTGTTGGTGTGTTGTCCTTCATCGTTGAGATTGGAGGAGGCGCTTGTCCCTGCGCCACCACCTGCACCTTGCGCGATTCTTGACAGCGATGCCGATGCGGATCTACAAGACTGCAAATGACGATCACGACAATTATCATTGATGTTGGTCCGGTCGTCGTGACTACGAGTACAGTTGGAAATTGTTGACGAGATCCTTGCTTTACTTCCCCGCTTGTGTAGCGCACCATCAGCAGGCACCTGAGCCACCTCGATTGGCTTTCCGATTGCATCAGCATTTATTTGGCCATCTACAGTAGTTTTCGAAGTATCCTCAAGGTCATCCATTCGCGCCGTGATGGATTGCCTCCACGGCGTCATAGCTAGTCCCAAGATCTTGTCTACTGGCATATTTGCAAACTGTCTTTCTCCTGCCCTACCTAATGAGGAGTACAGTGACCCATCAGAGTCGTGAATGCTCGATAGTTTCTCGATCGATTTGATCGCATTCCAGGCTTTGATACTTCCCGAGACTGATGACAACATGGCTGGACTTGTGCATCCAGCAGTTTGTTCATGATCGTCCTGCACGCCCGCAAATCTCGGCTTCGTATGATGCGCCTTTGCTCCAACAGTCAGCTGCGCCTTTGCTCCGACAGGAGCCTGGGAGTTGTTCGTGTTGTTCTCATGTGATGACGGAAGCAGCCTCTGGCTCGGCAAGGTACTACGTGATGGAAGCCCTCCAACATGATAAATGCCAGTTGAGTTCGACATTGACCCAATTGAACTATTTGCTACTCCTCCACTACGCGGCGCAGGTGCTTCTGAACAAGCTGCATCTGATAGACCAGCGTCTTGTCGTCCTTCTTTCAGCTCCCGCGCATTGTAGGAGTGTACTAGCCTCTCACTGCGCATTGTATCGCCTAAATTAGACGGAAAATTTCGACACTAGATGTAGATCGTTGACCAACGTGACGGCCATGACAGAATCATATCCATACAAGATAAAAGTCACTCAATGAATTACTCAGCGATGACCTCTTCAAGGAGAGCGTCACTGAACTATTGCTTGACCACGAAGGCGGGAAGAAGCAGATCTATATGAACTTTAGCGAAAAACCAACTCATAACTTCCTGTTGCGTTTTTTGCTGAAGTCCAGACGACCCCAGCAATTGATAATGCATCCGCTTCCAAGTCGGTAAAGAAGTTCGCTTTGCCTTCGCAGCAGCCGCCCCACCCTTCCCGGGCTTAGCGTCATTTGTAGGCTTACGCGATTTCATCGTTGATAATTACATAACTTCAGGCGTTGACTAGATATCGACCGAAGAATAAGACATCAAAAGAATCTAGATGAGACGCCATCGAAGTAAAGTCATATTCTCACGGAAGAGCCCGATTCTTCAGCTATGTACATTCACAACAGTACTATTGTACGTGGTCAAATAAAAGACCGTGACCGGACTTTCACAATTTAACACGTTCTTAAGGCTTAACATAAAGTGGATGGAAAGGACTATGGGTGTCCTCGAATCGTCCCTCACAGACAATATTTTGTGGTCCTGGCAAGAAGAACAAAAAGAACCGAGCTAACAAATAAATATTGATATTTAGTATGCGTCTCCCATTTTCCCTCATCTTAAGTCTCGCACTGATGCCTGTTTTTATCATGTCATAATCTCACTCAGAGAGAAACCTATCTGAAATGAAAAACTCCCTCATCTCCTTTTGTCAGTTAAGTTGTTCTTGACAGACCACATTGCCACAGATCGCAGCACTTGGGAGCCGACATTCATGCACTCCGTACCGGAAGTAGACCTCTGTCCTTGCAAGCGGTTCCAGACCATCTGAACACAAACTTGTTGATACGTCATGATCGAGATAAGCCGTAGAGCGACGCGGCCGCCATGTCGGCGCAGCTATAGGTAATCGAATCAAAGAACAAGAGCTATCACCTGCAAAATGGATATCCATATCCTCAATGAAGAACTCCTAACGAGCAGCATTTTTTTGGTAGCCCATTAAAGCAAGAACCAGATGATTCGTAGAAGTGCGTGCTTTCTCCGGAAGATAATTCAATAAATAAGTAGCTGCTACTTCCTCCTCCAATCTCTACAATTTTGAAGCGCTATGATTTTAACCCAACTTCATTATCACCTTTTGTGTAAATACAAACTAAGCGAACTTGAACTATCTAGCCACTAAGAACATAAGAGGATCAAGGCTCGTAGAATATCACGACTGTGGATGATGTGAGTCTGATCATAGTCTAGCTGGACGCTCTCAACCGTAGCAATAAATAACTGAAGGAGGTAACTCCGCAGAAAGACGATGACCATAACCGTGGACGTCATTGATATTCGCTAAAATTTTCGAGATTATTGCAAAAATATTGAAAGAACATGATATTATAGCTGATACTCCATATGCTAGCAAATGCTTGCCATCTCTTTACTACGATGAAAATCTACTGTCATGCGCCTAGTCATGAAACGACCGTAGGACCTACGTTGATCACTTGAGCCAAGGTTTTCCACCCTGGTGGCTCATGATGTATTCAATAACTTCATTATCAGCTTTATAGTACAACTACATTGACACTCACCAAAAAAAAATCAATTATAATCAAAACTACCTACAAAGACCATACTTTTTCTCACTATGGAAAATGCTTATAATTTTGTTTCGAGTGCATAATCCCCATGCGCATCGTCTTCCATCATTAGGCAAAAGCTCTATTAACAACCTTCGCATCCACGACGGCCGTAACGTTACCTCTTCTCTTACTTCGCATAAGCTGCATGGTATTTTTTTTTTCTTAGAGCATGGAAAATAACGGAGGGAATCGTTTAACACCCATTGAGTACTAACCAAAATCAAACATCAAAGCTGTATTTTGAACCTTCAGTTATTAATTGAACAAATATCAAGAACAAAGTTAATCTCTACGACCTTAACTATTTGTCATTATTTCGTGCCAGAAATGCCACAAAGATCAGACACGTATTAAAACAAATAATTTTTCTTTTTGGCGTGGTTCAAGCTGTAAAGCTTTCACCCAAGCACACCTTAATAAACGCTATAGGGTAAGCATAGCACATCCTCCGAGAATCGAGCAGCAACCTCCTGAACCTCAATCCTGTTTTTTTACCTTTACGGTTACTGCGATATAATTTTATTTCATATATTTCATCACGCACTCAGATAGGTCTTCCTAAAAAAATAATGAATATGCCCGTATCTAGACTCATTTGAAAATCAAGCAAAGGGCCCTCCGAAAAATCTGACTACTTGAGGAGTTTTAGTTTTTTTCAATTGGTGCTCTATTGAAAAACAAAAAATCTATCTGCCACATAGTCAGCTTGTAACAAGAGGTAGTATACCTTCTTATACACCATGATACCCAACGTCTACAGATCATGTTATCAGCATACTTGTTCCTTGAAGCTTAGGAGATAGAATTAGAAACTACACTTACAAGTATTTCGGTAAAGTCATACTTCTAACTTTTAGGAGTAGGCCGGATATCAATATCTATGACGAAGAAACAAAGAACAGTCCCAAAATATAAATTGACTGAGTCCTGATACACATAATAATTCTCAACATTTACTATTTCAATCCCGCCCAGCAGCTATTTTGGAAAATCTGAAGGATATGACGGAAATGAGTCAGACCTTCATTAAATAAATTGTGGAAGACCAATCATGTCCAACCTCCATACGCAGGTCACCCGATCTTCATGCGTTCAACACAACGCCCATGTCTTCTCGAGCACACGCCTGAAGAACCAATGCCAAATCTGCGCCGCCATGATCTTTGAAATTACCTTACATGAGAAGAATAGAGGAGGTTGAGGGTTACGTGTTTGATGAAGATTATGCAATTAGCAATGGTCACTTTTGAATTCCTGCCCTCCAAATACAAGGGCTCGAGGTATAGTTACGACTTTGCAATGAGAGGAGACAGGTCAACATGAAGGGCTACTGACTAGTCGGCTTTTGTGTTATCCATGTAAGCTAAATCTTGTCCAAGGATTCTATGTTGAAAACCTACCATCAAAATGGGTGCTGAAGCTCTATGGCTTGGGTTCTGCCTGCTGCTGAGAAATATATTTGACGCTGTTCCTGTCATGCATACTTACATCACATAAATTCACCAAACATGACTAGACTCAATTATCATCAGCCTCAAGGTCAAATTACTATCTTGAGAAGCAACGACGTGATTGCTTCGTCTAGCTACAAGCCCACTAGAGACACATCCTCATTTATTATGGCTCAATGAAGAACTAAAAATGTAAAAACCATCAGAGGACTATACATGATCTTCACTCCTGCGCCAAACTTCTTGATCTTGCTCCATTCTCTTCAACAAAACTGCAAAGCTTCTTTTTTTCCTTCCACACTCATTCCACAACCACAATATGCTCCAATCCGATGGACACGATGGCCACCGTCGTGACCTCCTGCAAAACATGTCTATACCTGTGATTCAAGATGATGATCACAATTATTGCAATCGGATGGAAGCTTTTTTTAGATGCCTTGTACGACGTTTGCACCTTAGGACATGCTTGAGCAGCAAAACGATTCATAACATCAACAAACATCTTCTTACCTGATGCGTTACTAGTATTCGAGAGTATTACTAAGATTCACAGCCAAAATGCAGTACTAGGTTATGAGCTTCGGCGATTTATTAGGGACCAAGATCAGTAGACCTTGAATGCAAGCAGAGGGGGTTGTTCTTGTTCTTCAGGTATAAACTACCATACTAAGATCATAAGACGCATTTCGTGTGGATGATTTCGATGGACCTACAACAAATACAAGACCTGAGACACTACGTCAAAAATTCTACTCCTACATACTCTTACTCATACTAATTGTTCAGGACACAGGGCTTTTTTTTCTACTGAGTACTTTACTTCGTTGGCCTTCTTCTCTCATTCCGAAACTGTAATAAGATGAAAGAGCTAATAATAGTATATATGTAGTGATGTTGCAAAATCAAAATCGTGCATCAGGATCAGCTACGCCCTCGCGGAAAGGACAACAATAAGTGAGCAGGGTATGGCTTAGACTACTACCCCACTTGAATATTACAAATCATAAAGATAGTCAGAGAGAAGAACAATTTTACTCCTACCTTAGGAAAAACTTGCTATGTTGTCACCTGATTCGAGCATTTTTCATGTATGTCATCAAGATCCTACGAAGAGAACAAATTTATCGTCCACCCATGTGTTTGAAAGTCATTTTTGAGGAAATCTTGGTGGTTTATGTCACGCTCAATTTGCTCCTCAAGAATTCTACATAACAACGAATGTATGTATATCGATTTAGAATTATAATGAGTAAAGTCATCGACTTGTCATGTAACCCAAGCCGGGGGGTCGTGCAGCTTCATCGCAAGCTGTTACAAGAATTGATACGATCGAGGTGGTGACTCTCTGTGAATCTCTATAATCTGTACTATGACTCACTTTATCAGTCTGACCTCTTATTGTTAGACAAGAAAGTGGAGGACAGTCCTAACAATAAAAGAACTACACAAAAGACACGAACAACATACAGAGTGCTTCTATTTCTAAGAGATTGTCTGTCGATGAGCAAGCTAGTGTCTGATTCGATTGATAGCAGTTATGTATCTTGATGCACGTATCCTGTGCCTGAAAAATCAAAGACATTCCAAAACTTACCTGTCCACCTACTCCATTACATGCGTCAAAATCATAGCATGAGCAGTTACTTGTGGCAGAAGCTAAACACCCTAAGATCAAAGCCTCTAATTCATCTATCTATTGAGTTTTAAGACATCGTCACAATTATAACAAGATCAAATAGATTCAATGAATCTGCAACACATACTATGCACGACCACATCGAGACTCATTTATTTATTGCTCCATTGAAATCATTATAGCAAAATAATACACAATCACAAGAATTGCAATAGTTCGAGAATTTTCACTCATAGCGACGAAAAGGCTCTCGCCCCTGGGCCCTGCTCCCGAATCTCGTTGCATCAGCTAACAAAACATGAAGATGACACTGAAGCAATCCTTTTGATATACGAAGCCATGAATTGGAAAACTGACGGGAAGTAAATCAAGAAGACTAGGCACAGCCTGTATGATCTATTCTCAATACCTGAAGCAACGCTTCATCAATTCGCCCCACTCACCCCATGAAAACGCAGAGTTTGCTCCACGTGTTCTACCTGTTTTGAGTAAAATATGAGAAGCCTTTGACTGTAGTACTTGGAGTGCAAGGTCCTCGGGGGGAAGGTCTGATTTGGGACAAATTAATGGTCTGGTAGTAAAATCATTAGAGGAGTCTGCAGCTGCACATAGGCAAAGATCAGCATCAATTTAGAAAGAAGAAGGCAATCTTTTTTGAAATGATTCCCGTGGGGCCTAGGTAGTAAATAATGCGAGTGTAACCATCGTCACGATAACAATAGTACCGTTATTCATATCCCTCCTCCTCATTCTCTTTTATCATCATCCCAATCGTCGAAAATCAGCAGCATGCACAAACCTGGTGTAGGAAGGCGAGGAATTGACTGCGACGACATCGAAGTAAAAAGACCATGGATACACTCAAGTCAACACGTCCAGGCCAGTAGGCATCAACAGATCAACAGTTGAAACATAGCTAGGATCTCATTACAAACTACAGCATTACCTTAATCGGTTTTGGAACGCTTTCTGCTCCGAGAGTTTGGCGGCGACTCCAGAGCTGGCGCCGGCCGACGCAAGACCAAGGCACGATTATTTGCATCATGCGGTTGCGGTGGCACCTGGCTACTACTGCTCGCAGCCTGATGTTGCTGGTTCATTCCGCTGCTAGAACTAGCACTCGCTTGGTCTTTCACCTCCTTCAGCAAACTCGCAAAGCCCTTCTCCTTTTCCGACAACAATTCATCAAGTTCCGTCTGATATCGATCGAGGCGACCTATTGAGATAAAACACTTGATGCCAAATGATAGCTTTGCTGAGAGATGGCGACCTGTTTTTTAGATCATGTGACGCGCAGATTTGTCTACGTAGCAGAAAGAAGTTTGTCGATGTATGATTTCTTGATGCTACAGGTTCTTTGCTTCTACCTCATTACGAATGTGCCCCTTGATCGCTTTTCTCTAGTCAAAACAACCTTCCGGGCATAGTCATTATCAATTGTACGCATACTATTTGTATTATACAGAAAATTACGGTGAGTCTGAGCAGGTGAAACCGTGGAAGACCTATCATGTCCATTGTAAGGAACCTCTCCACATGCGAAGCTTATATACCCTTAAGATACTCTTTTAGCGATTATCTTAGCATCTGAAAAATACAGAAAAAAAAATTACTTCTATTTGTGCTAGACTATGAAAATGCAAGACGAGTGCTCGCCTCAACTAAATTACCCGTCAGGGAGGAGTCGAGTTTCAGTTACCTGAGCAGTGTTCGATGTAGAAAGCAAAACTCATTACTTTTTTCACCTCAAATCTATTTAAGCAGTAAATACGTGATGCATCTCCTCTGTTCTTCGCATGATCGCGGAGTTCGCGGATCATGATTCTTTGCGCTCCGGCTACCTCGGAAAATCCAGACCGTAGGCTAATCGCTAGAGTGTGCATCGACTTCAAGTCGTCGCTCTGAATAATTGATATTAATACTAGGTCCGCGATGCCATGGCAGATGAAGAACTATGCTGTCGAGTTACATTCTAACTACATGAGAACTCACTTGAAGTAAAAATTTTCAAAGAAAATCTATGACACATACATCAGCAGCATCGTCGTTAAGTATCTTTCACTCGCTTGTTAAAAAGATGATCATAATGAGATTTGTCCACGACACAGAAAAGAAGTCCAGTCATGTAGTCAGCTTACTCCCAGAGGACTTCCCAAACTTTTCTCTGTGCCAAAATGCACTTGTGATCTAATAACTTGAAGAACGACACAGGGTAGGAACTCAAGATGGAATACAACATGACTAATTTTGTTTCAAGAAGTGCACCCAGATTACCACTACGCGACAATACTAGATGGAAGACGATAAAAACTAGCTCAGAAACAAACAATAATGCGTACCTACTCAAATATCAATTATAACCAAAGCCATACTTACTACAAACTTAGTACGAAAGTTTTCATGAGTGGGCGCAAGGTCTCCACACTGGCGTGCAGGTCTCCAATTCCATCCAAGTCCAGCGCTGCCGGAGATCTTGTATTCTTCACGTTGCCGATGATCTGGTTCGCCTTGCGCTTGATGCGCTGCACACTATCAACAGCGTGATCTAGCGACGACATGAGCATGTCCTGCGGTGTAGCTTGACAGCCGAAGTCGCGTAAATCCGCGTTGGTCGTATTCTGGGCGGTAACCCATTCAATCTCGTTTCTGAGGGACATGTTCTCGTTCACCAGATTGCGGATCTCCTGATCTTTATCGATTGAAGTTGCCCTCGAGTTCTGCGACCCGTCGGTGATCATGAGATGGCGAGGCGGATCCATCCCAGGATAGAACGACAGCATGTTGTCACTTGCACTAACAGCACCACCAAAAGCAACATGACCAGCCGCATCAGCGTAGGCAGCCGGTGCATATAGACCAGCAAAGGGGGCGATCAGAGTCTCCTGGTTCGATTGACTGTCAGGCCCATCAGGTCCCTCGTTTGTCGATAGTAAGCATGGCACTTCCTTTGACATGTTCATGTCGTTCTTCTTATCTCGCGGCGGGTAAACGTCATCCTCCTCATCATCATCCATTGATGCAAGCCCTAGACGATCCTCATTCTGATGTACTGGAGCAATAAGCATTTGTTGTTTCTTATCATCGTCTTTGTTCAGATTGACAGCGCGAGAAGAAGAAGATGATGCTCCTGGTGCAACGCTTTCTGCAAGTTTGCCTCCAAATGTCTGACCTGCACTATCCCCCTCCAAAAGCGTCGGCGTTTTGGTCTCAATCAACACGTTCTTCTCAGCCATATCGGAGGTCTGATGAAGGTTTAATTTTTGTGTTTGTTTCCTCGATGAAGATTCTCATCAATCATGTTGCAAAAGTGTCCGAAAATATATTATAGCAACAAGACGACGAGATGCCAGGTGGGAATCAATACCATCAATATCGCGGTTGAAAAGGGTCTACAATGAAAAAGCGCCCTCCTATTTCTGACTGATGGCATAACATAAACCGCCCTTGGTGTAAATTCCACCCTGCGTCCCAGTAGTAAAAGAATCACTACACGCACGTCAACAACAAGAATATCAATTGGGAGAAGGCTAGAAATTATGATCATAGTGATTCGTTCTGTTGCCAGGATGTAGATTACAGGATGAAGTGATCTATTCGAACGGGTTCCAAAAAATCTCACCAGAGACGAGACAGCTACTAACCAAGCTAAACAAGCTCCTGGTGCTTACCTATACTGGCAAGCAAAAAAAAACCACAAGCCCCCTGTAACAAAAGCATATTTTTCATCTACTTCTGCAATTCAACTCCAATAGAAGAATACTACTGATAAAGCATGAAAGCTGACATATTGACGCAAAGTGGTCTTTTGCACCAAGGAGCAGACAAGGCAGCTTTTATCTGAGAGAAGTGCTAACCTACCAGCCTATGTCATTGATACTGATTTTGAAGATGGTCAGTGAAAGTATGCATCTTGCTTGAGATAATGCATTGTGTCAGCAAATAGTGCCTGCCATAGTACTTCAAAAAATTTCAAGGCTAAGATCCTAGCATCTTGATCCGTTATGTACAATGTCAACTTCATATCGGTACTGAAATTCGACCCATTGCAACTCAGTACCTGCTTCTTGCATTCAGCCGCCTGTGCGTCAAAATCGTTGACGCATGCAAAAAAATAAGCCTCGTCGCGCATGCTCGCCTCCTCTGCCACATCCGCAAAGGTCACCCGTAAATTAGAAGATTGATCTTAATGTAGGTGACGCGTATGCTATTCTAGTTGTTAGTACTGTGATGCCCCTACCCCAGCAGACGCAGCCCCCTCACCCCGTCTGCTCCATAGCGGAACGCACCCGAGGGGTATCTCTCGCGACGTTTTGCGCCCAGAACTACCACCCCACGCCAGGGCCGGCCTGAAGCGCAGCCCTGGCCTTGCTCGATGACCCGGCAAGGATGCCCCTGGGGGCTTTCCTATCTTCTTCCTCGGCCTCGATGGCTTCGCCCAGCTCGGTGCTGAGCGAAGCAGTCGAGAGGATGGGCCTCGGACCTTGTGGCGAGATGCATACTACCACTGGCTGACGCCGGGGCGACGTAGTCACTCCCGGCGGCGCCAGGAGTGACTACGTCGCCCCGGCGTCTCTGACAGGAAGGAACGGGCTAAGACTGCTGCCCTCTGTGGGGTTGAACAATTTCCCAGGCAAACGGCAAGAGGAAGCCGTCGCTCGTGGAAGACTCCTGCTGTGCTATATCCGCGGAATTCTTCTTGTTCTACAAGTAGTTAGTCTTGTCTTGGTCACTATTTTTGACTTATATCTCCATAAGCTTTCCTTGTTTCTTTTCCCCGCGCTTCTCTCCTTTCTCTACGTTGGCGCTCAGCTCAACTTTCTCCGTCTCTGCATTGCTCTCTTTCTTCTCCTGCTCATCTTCTTCACTATTTTTCGCCCCCTCCTCTTCTTCTTCTTCTTCTTCTTCTTCCTCCTCTTCCTCCTCCTCGTTTTCCTCATCCGAGTCAGATATGATTTGGATGGAGCCAGAGTTCTTATTGCTTGTATCAGATGTTTGATGTATCGGAGAACCCTCCAGAAAATCTCGCAGTTCATCACGATCTGGTTCTTCGCCAGAGAGTGACGGGTCTGGGAGCTCCACCTCCAAACCTAGTGATTTCTGCCGACGGCCCAACATGCGATCAGCCTCCTCATCCAGGCGTCGCTGGACCTCCTCGAACTCATCCTCGACCATCTGCGACTCGCCCTTCATCTCATCTGCCACTTGGTTACTATCGGCCACCAAAGCCGCAAGCTGCTCCTGCTCGCTTTTGTTAGTAGGAGTAGAGATCGAGTCCACGTTCAATTTCAAACCTGGAAATGATGGAGGAACAGCAATTTGGTTTAGCTAATAAAGAAGAAGAGTGATCTTAAATAACCGGTATAGTGTGCGTAGAAGATGCAGTAATTGGTAGAAGATGCAGTAATGTAACAGAATCAGTCCTAACATGTTAAGGCTCTCTTTGTCCATGGTCTAAGTGTGTAGTACCAGATAAACGCTCTCTAATCTCCTCAGTGTCTCCCGACGTCGCGTCTTGCAGCTCCTTATTTCCACGCTTACTCGCGACTAAAGGAGCGACTTCATCGACATGCTCAACATCTTCCCCGAACAACTCCTTCATCATCTCTTCAACATCTGGCTCTGAGAGAGATGAGGAAGAGAGGTCATAAATTAGGTGATGCATAGAGAAAAACGTCTTATGTGGAGGTGGACGCGCGAGTGCTGGTTATTTAGGTAAAATTCAAAATAGTAGCACAACTTGTAGATTTTCTCGATGGCATCATCTGTAGTACCAGCTTCTTCCGTTTCCAGTTGGACATTTCCAGATGATGTCGGGGGCGGTGCATCAGCCGTCTCTTTTTCGTTGGTACTGTGAAAAAGTGACTCGATAACCTCCACGCCGTTTTCTCGTTTAAGCTCATCGGCAGCTCCGTTCAGCTGCTTTACCATCTTCCTGACATCTGGGAGACGGAGAGCGTAATTTGGACGATACAGTAGAAACATCTTATCATCTCGTGGTGCCCATGCACATGCCTTTCTAGCAAAAAAGTTTCGACTTACTTGTAGACTTTCTCAGAAATATTATCTATACCGGTACTTTGCTCCTCGGGCTCAGGGTTTGGATTTGGATTCGCTGACTCCATCGTCTTGTTATCGATCCGCATGAGATCCTGATCGGATGAGCAGGGATCGCTAGACGACGACATCATATGCTTGATTTTCTTCAGGTTGTTGCTTTGGTAGATGTTTAGCAAAATTGCCAATCAGAAAAGTTTTTTCCAACGTCTTCTCTTCGCATCAATGATGCTTTACACTTCGCTCAAATGCTTGCTGATGCAAACCTTCCTAGTGGAAAGTAAGACGCGCACGAAGATAAATAACGTGCTCGCATTTGTCGCGAAGTAGAACAAGTAAAAAGTTTGCCGTCACAGCATAATGATGTCAACCGCTCGTATCGCTGGTTTTATCTTTGTCTTACTCTTAGTACTCAGTGTAGTGTATCTGCGACGACAACAAAAATCCGCTTGATAGACGACCGACAAAAGCATACCATGCTGGTTCTAGTCGATCTGAAGCTATTCAAGATGCATACCAACATGAAGCACTTCTACACAATAGCCCTCCAGTAAGTTACTTTCGGAGATAAATAGTGCTCAGCTGTAGGAGCAACAACTGACTAGGCCTTACGTTGAGAGACCATTTTAGATAAGTCTTCCCCTTCATAGCTGAATTCATCTTCTGGCGATGGACAAAAAAAGCAAAAAAAGAACAGATAAGCAAAATCGTCACACTTGCTGAAGCATCATGTTGCAACCGATGAAATTTGACACACAACTCCAGATATTCTTCTACTACCAGTCTCATGAAATGACATACTCATAATTGGCCCCTACTTAATGAATTACGATAAAGCCGCACTCAAATTGTCATACTCGCTGTTTTGCAATACATACACTCATCCAGAACAACCGATCGCCCGCGCCAGCGGCCGTGGCTCTCTTCATAATCCTATTTCATCTGCCGTACCCTCTAGGAGATGACGACCATTTCGCACCGTCGAGAGAAAACTTTAGAAATTATATGATCAGCACGCTAAAGATTCATCATTAAGGGGTCACAAAAAACACCACCGCGCCTTGGAGCATCACATTACCCCACCCCTCCTTCTTGAACGGAGAGACTTTTAGTCCTCCTGTCCTCGTCCATGAATCAGTCAGTGAAGTACCTGTGCATTCAATAGGGCCGCCATCAACATTGTTCGAACATTCAAGCTTCCTTCAGCGTCCGGTAGAAATAGTTTCAGAGTAGCATCTGGCAGAAGATTTCGCGACGATGCTCATGCCCCTACAAAATAATGCGTTTTGATAGGCCGGATTTGCAGAGTCAAAAAGCTACTGCATTTTCTTCTAGATGAATTCATAGCAAGACTTTGCTGCGTCATGAATGACAAAGGAGTGCAAAAACCTTTCTGAAGGTGGGTCGGCACTAAGCTGCTCTTCTTCATGCTTATAGCTTCGTCGTGTACTCCCACAAATGAAGTAGAAAACTACGCTCTTCATCAGGAGCACGCAAAAATATATTTTCACAAGAACAATGCGCCATCACCATCAGCATGATCATAGGGCAGTAAAAAAAAATCGACGCTCCGAGGATGCTTAGCTACAAATAACAATAATGCTGCTAATGGCTGCTCAACAACAGAACATCGAGTAGGAGTCGCTAGATCGTCTTTCTCAAAGTACTGAACTCCGACGATTTCCTTCAATGTCATCTATCGATGTAAGCCGTCGCTCCCCAGGATTGTGTCTGGTGCTCCACCAGCCGGCGCGCGACGACAAACCCCACACATGGCTGGAGCCGGGACCACAGTAAGATCGTAAACACTGCAGGGATTAGACTCACCAGAATGGCCTCGCTTGATTGATGAAAAAATCACAGTAAGAAGCACAGCAGAAAGTAGCAATATGATGCTAATCTGAGTCATACACCAATAGACGACACTTTCTCTCTTTGTTTTCTAATACCTCTACAGCAAGTCTTTCTTGCTCATCGTGAGCGCGACGTCTGAGGAAAATCCAAGATATTACACCCTGGGAAGAGCTCTACCATTCATAAGTAGTCAGAGACGCCTGCATGGATCATACTCGAACTGAACAGTTGCCACAAGAAAGACCGAGCACCACTGCGCCAGTCGAGCCGCGTTTTTACGTCGCAAAAGCCCGACCAACACGCTCGCCCTGATATCGCGCATCTGGAGAGCTACTTCCGATTCAGGAAGTCGTATGGTAGTTGAGCATGAGCTTCGTCGCCAAATTTAATCCTCTTGCTGGCACCTGCTTGCGTCGATCTTCAGACCCAGCATATGCATGTACGCAGTTCCAGTTCCTAACTAGTGCCACTCCTCCTTATGTGCTTCATAAAAGCTTTACACTCGTGAGCGGTTCTAATGCATAGCGTTGCATTGGGCCCTCATTGTAGTAAATGAAAAGATTAAGAGTTCTCATAAATGAAAGTGAAACAACTCGTCACCTGTATACATTTACCCACTAAAACCTTATGCCTACAACTAGGAGTCGATCATCAAAGGACTGATCAGGAAGCAGCTCTACGTCGTGTAGCAACCTCGATGTCAGAAATTCTAAAGCAAAAACATTACAGCAAACTAGCAAAGACCATATTAGTGTCCTCCTGCCCCTGCGATGACGATCGGAAACCACGCTGCGTCCGCGCTGATGCCAGCAAGCCGAGGCCATCTTCAACTAGTTGTCATTGACGATGAGCAGAATCTTCATGACGGTTGGTGGACAGACACCCGCAATTTTTCTGGTGAACTTGTCGCACGATCTGGGCAGATGATGATCTTGACAGACGACCCACACCAAGACGGGTTGCTGCGTCAAATAGATGTCACTGCGAAGAACGAACTAAACACGAGTCCACGACCTCCTGGGTCCTGTGGTAGGCGCCATCTTTTGTGCTAATTGAACTTCAACATTAAAAAACATGCTGCTGAGAAGTAGATACTGAAGACGAAGACACCGCCGCGCGCTGAGCCGTTTCAACGGAACGAGACTGGAGCTGCACGACCATAACCACGCTCTTCGCACGACCTATGTCATATAGGGAGCTACCAAGAACATGATGAGCATTATTTCAGCTGCATCTTCTTTGACGTTCACGCCATCCGCAGATCAAGCAAGATCTTCGACGGTGATCTTCATAACAACATAAAAGCCAGTAGATGTAGTTGTAAAGAGCTGAGAAAGCAGCAGCAATATCCTCAAGTAGCCATGATCTTGTTGTTCAGCGCCCCACGCTCTATGTTGGTGGACTTGCGTGCTTACATCGGCGTCGTCGACCAGCTCCAGCACCTGCTCCTTCTACCTCAACTTCTACAACAATGTATGAGGATCCTCCTCGCTACTCGTACAACAGCTAAAAGTCCTACATGCTGCCTCGTTCACTCGAAGCCGCCGCGGGTAGCATCTCTGCATACATCATAACGCCACAACATCGCTTGCTGTCCTGCCAGTGAGGGCGCTAGTCCTGAGCAGCCTGCGAGTCACTAGCCCATCCGCTCCCCCTGATGCGGCATTCCCGTGATCCAGCGCTACTGGTGGTTAGAGCAAAGGGCCGCAATCGAAGTGTCGTCAGTTTCGAGCACCAAAAAAAAACGATTACGCCGATGGAATAGAGTGTCTATCCATGCTTCTGATCGATAATAGTAAAGCTACCGCAAGACCGGTGGTGGAGCAGCAGGAGGCTACGTAATGTTAAGCCAAATATTAAGTAGTACTAGTTGCACCAGGACGAGTGGATGAAGCACGACCTCTTCAACAGCATGAGCAACATTATGCTACGTGAATATTATAGAAAGGCATTCTTGAACATAAACGTAGCCCTTGGAGTCGCAAAACGAAAAGGAGCATCAGCGTGATCATCTCCTGCTCCGGACATTGTTGTGCTGCCCTCATGACCATCCACGAGGACCATGATCATCTCTACTTCGTCGTCGTCGTCCTCCGCAACCAGAAAACGATGATCTACTTGAAAAGATGAGCGCCGCTCTTGTAGTACTAGGACCTCCACCAAATCCTCCCCCTTTTATTTGCTTGCGTCTTGTTTCAAATAATCAGCACGCCGACGAGGTGTTGTTTCAACGTGTGTTGTCCTCCAATACCAACACAAAAAAGTTCATTAAATAAAAAAAAGTTTAAAATACGTTATCAAGCACTGAAAAAACAAAAGAAAATCATGAATCTTTAAACTAAGTTGCAAACTCAAAATACTTCGTTAGCGATTAATGAAAAGCAATCCACTTCCAGTCGAAGTGATTCTAAGCAAACGAATTCAGTTTCAGTCTGAAAATGATAAGTTTCCAGAAAGTTTCGAACAAGTCTCTGTAAGGGACGTTTCACGTAGTGCCAGGTCTGTAACCGGTGGTGGTCCTCCTTGAGTCGCTGACTGCTGCCCCCCTGCGTACTGCGAAGCTATGCTCCCTGTACAAGGCCCAGAAGTTCTCGCGTAGCTGCAGTGGGATCCGGTATTCCTCGAAAGCCCTTGCTACCAGTTTTCGCGGTACAGTGTCGAATGCCTGCGTCAGGTCCACGAAGCAAACTGATGCGGTGCGCCCCACTGCTGCCCGTGCCTGGAGCGCCAGTTTCAGCGCCAGCGTGTTGTCTACTGCTCTCCTGTAAGGCCTATAGCCTGCCTGTGCCTCTGAGAGTGTTCTGTCTATTGGGCCAACCAGCCTGAGGTATAGCGCGGATGCGAAGATCTTTGCGAAGAAATTCAGCAAGGATATTGGCCTCCATCCTGCAGTGCTGCTGTGGTCTTTTCCTGGTTTTGGTAGCACCACTATTAGCGAGTCGACTTCGCCGTCCTCTAGGGTGCCTTCTCGCCAATACCTGCGCACCTTTTCTCTCACGAGGTTCTTGTTCTGCGCGCTGAGTAGCTCGTAGTGCTCCTTCTTTAGTTGGTCCCTGCCTGCTGCTTTGCCGGTCCTGAGCCTTCTTATAGCCTCGTCGACCTCCTTGTCCTCCAGCTCGCGCCCTCCCTCATGCGCACCTGTGTCGGCCCGCCGCCATGTGCGGTTGTACTCCTGAGGCAGCTCTCGCGCGTCGCGCTCTGGTAGCTGTGGCGGCTCCTCTCCGGTGAAGACTGCCTCGAAAAAAGCCCGGTGTAGCTCCGCCTTGCCCCTGGCGGTGTAAGCGACCTCCCCTTCGTGTTGCAGTGTTTCGCTTATCTTCGAGCGGCCTCCGCTGTGCCCCTTGGCCTTCCTCCCCCCAAGGGCTGATATCTTCGCTACTGCAGGGGCCTGTCCGCTCTTGGCGAAGTGCTCCTCTGCCTCCCTGCAGGCCCTCTCGGCAAAAGCGTTCTGGTCCCGCTTCTCGGTCCATTTCATCTGCTTGAGCAGCTGCTTGGCCTCTTCCTTGTTGCCGAGCCGCAACTGTTCTGCCCTCTCTCGCCACAGGTCGCGGAACTCCCTGCTTATCCAAGGCTTTTCGCTTCGCTCTTGGCCGTAGACCTCCTGTCCCGCAATGCGCATCGCTTCCTGTATGCTTCTCCCTCCTTCTATGAGTCGCTCTACTGCTGCGTTGTATCTGTTCACAGACTCTGGCTCGGCTTGTGCGGGCTTGGGCAACTGTGCTAGCCTCCTTTTCTTCGGCTTCTTTCCATGCCAGCCGAAATCGTCTACCCGTAGCTTGCTTTTTACCATGAGGTGGTCTGTGCTGATCTCATGTCGCTCCACTACCCGCGTGCCCTCGACGCTTTTCCTCATACTGTTGGAGTACACTATGTGGTCGATCTGTTGCCAGCCCCTTGCCCCGTATCTTGCGTCTGGGTGTCTCCATGTTGCGTACCCGTGTTGCCCATGCTGGAATACCGACGCGGACGAGAAGGCCCCTGCTTCCAACAAGAAATGCCGGAAGGCAGTGGAGTTGCTGTTTGGACTCTGGTTGGCCTCCCTGCCGTGTGGGCCCGTTACCTGCGTAGCGCCGATGGGTAGTCGTGCGTTGAAGTCCCCTACTATGGCATACCTCGCCACGCCCCTGACTGCCTTCCCTAGTTCTGCGTAGAGAGCTTCCGTTTTTGTCTCGTTCTTCGCTTCTGCTGTCGGTGCGTAGACGCAGACTACCCGAAAGGGCTTCCCCTTCCCGACGCGGAGGTCCAGTATGCATATTCTGCCTCCCACTGCTCTCCAGTCTACCACAAGGTGCCAGATGCTCTGGTGGATCGCCCACGCTGCCCCAGCGTGCTTGCTGCTGCCTGCGCTTAGTATTCGCCATTCTCCACAGTCGACCTCGCCTGTTTTCTTGATGTTTGTTTCTGTTAGGCCAGCTAATAGGACTCCCTCTGCCTCTAGATGTAGCAGAATGCTTTTTCTCTTTGCTTCTGATGCTGCCTCGTCGTTCTTGTTGTCGATACTTCTAACGTTCCAACATGCTAGTGTTAGCGTGTCTATCTTCATCGTCTTTTATGGGGGCTATTTTTTCTTGAACCAGTGCGCCACGTTGGTCCTTTAAAGCGCCTGCTGTGTCAGCTAGTGCGCCTCCACAGTCGACGCTTGGGTAGTACCCTGCTCCAGGTACTGTTTCTAAGTTGGCTGCTTCGAGCCAGGTCAGCCGACGTTCTGCTGTTTCTTTTCCTACTTTAGTTTTCTACGGCCTGTTAGTTGCCTTCGCGTGCTTTTATAGGACTAGTCTGCTTCTTTTTTCCTAGTTTTTGCTTCTTTCACGCTTTTGCTGTTAAGGCTTGTTTTCCACTGTCAAAAAATTTGCCCTACTTCCTTTCGCCGTTGGCCTTGGCCGAGTATGGGTCGCTTTTCTTGCGAGAGCTTCTGGTAAACGAAAAGGTAAAACTTCAAAACTTAGAACTTGCTGCTTTTTGGAGTCGTTCCTGATCTACTTCATGTATTTTATGTTGCGGCAAAAATAAGGAATATGAACACGAGGACGATGATGTCAAAAAGATGAAGCACCACAGAAGTGCAGCAAGGAGGAAACATGTCGCCTCCTGGAAGCCGTTTTTCGAGTCCTCTCCAACTACAGCTGGAGTCTCCGCGGGTGCACGTACTGAAAACTGAATCCTGTGAACAGTATTCGAGGACCGCCTTCTTTGGTTTGTGGGGGATTAAGTACATGAAAATCACCATGAGTTTTTCAAAGTGATAGTCAAGTATCGTTATTCCGCGTGATGGAGCCTCGTGGTCCTATGCCTAAGCCTGTGGAGATGAATCAAGGGCAAGCAGGCATAGCCTTGCCAGTAGCCCACCAGCCTAGCTGTATTAGCGTCGTGGTGTGTTGCCCTGGTCAGTATTCCGAAACTGCCGACGGGACTGCTTGAAGATAGATACCAAACTTCCTAAAAAAAGTGCTGGGATATTGTCATTACTAATTAGTGCATACCTTGCGAAGGAAACGCTTCGCCGAGGGACAGACGCATCCGATGTTTGTCAAGACGATAAATATGGATCATTTTATCGCGTAAACGACTCGTCGACGCGTCTAGACTTCGAGCCTAAGACAGCGCGCTCCTCGCAGGTTCTGTACCGGAGGCATCTTTTCGAGTGAGAGAGAGCCGCTGCGTGCCCTGAAGTGGCAAGCTTCGCAAGAAGGTCAGCTATTCACGAGGATAGGGCCGCCCCGCTTCGCCGCCGCCGGTGGCGACTTCATCTTCAACTAGTTGGATAGCTTCTCTAAGAACGCTGTAAATTCAAATATCTTTCAGGTCGTATCATGGCGACTCGTGCCTCAGCCGTATCATGCGTTCAGCGCATGAGCATGAGGCAAGAGTCACAACGTCATCAACATGTGCGAGAGCGGGTACGGCTGTACGTCGTAAGAACGGGCACGAAGATAGAATGATCCAGACACCGCATCTCCGTTTTTAGTTTCAACAGCCTCTCGGTATATCATGCACCACTGCCACTCTTAGCCTTTCTGCATCGACGAAGTCATAGCGAATTATCAGTCGGAAGTCGTTTGATACTAGTCCGTCGCAACATGCAATTTTTCTTGATTCAATGTTATCTTCATGGATCATCGTAACCTTAGAATTATTCAGAAAGCATCAAGTTGTTGGGAATTTATTGAATTTGAAAGACTCGGTCTCGATCTTTTGTTCGTTGCAAAATAGGCATGAATTCGTTTGTTTCGTAATCTGACTGGCGACAACCAAAATTATGATATAATCAAGCACCACGGTTGCAAAATAAATTCAAATGTAAGTAGTTCCCGTCGCCGTCATTAATTTCGGAAGACTGCCTCTCGATGAATGAATTTGACATGTCAGTAGAAATTGACAAACTATTAGCACACTTCGTTACAGCAAGACTAAGACAAACCAACGCTATCATATTCTCGACCGTTTGAATTAATCCATTGTGCCAATAAAGTCGAGAAACTCTGAGTATGAAATGCAGCCATTGTTGTTCTTATCTGCTAAAGCAATCATTTCCTCTGCTTCCTGTTCGCTCATTTTGTCTCCCAGGGCAGACAGGCAGTGTTTCAGCTCCCCAGCCTCGATAGTACCTAGTCGTAGGTCGTTGGAATGGATAGGTGAAGATGGTTATCGTGTTCGTGCTGTACCAATTATATAATCCTCCTTTTATTTTTGTTCATAGTCTAACATATTTGAGATTGAGTCTCGAAGCATCAGGAATGTTCATGGGCTTTGAGGTTCGAAGAATTATTCATCTACAAACCTCCAGTGAAAAGACGAAGATATTTGACTAAAAATGAAGATCACATAGGAATGCTCTAGTTCTAGAGGTGGTCCATCGTCTTTAATCATACATTAATACCGCTTTTGTCCTGATCAAAGAGTTTGAAGGCTTCTAGGAGAATCTGCTCTGTCGCTGGTTCCTGGTGGAAATGCCTCATTAGTCGCAGAAAGGTCTGAAAGTCGTAGGCGCCTTCGCCTTCTGGGTCGATGTCGTTATTCATGATCTTCTCCAACGTCTGCTTTGATGGATACTCGCCTACGCGGGCACTGTTAGTTGTACTCGTGATGTCATGTGTGGTTAATACGAGAATAATTTCCATTTCTGAAGAGCAGCTGTGTTGAACTTGAAGCAAAGCTATACTAGAACAAGCAAAAAAAATCAAAATGATATGAGCAAGAATAGAAGCACAAGAACACGAAGATGGACGAAATAAAATCATTGGAGGTACAGTATCCTCGGCAACTCCGTGTACGTGACAACGCCATCCCCGACAATATCGCTCAGCCGAAATGCTGCCGCGTACTCAGAAATTTCTGGATTTTTCGAAGCGGTAAAAGCTAATTAAAATAACTCGAAATCTTACTTCGTCCACAACGGATCAATTTGAAGCTGTTCATCTTCTTGATCAAAGTTTGAAGCAGAGTACGATGGATACTCATCTCAATCTCGATCATGTACTTTGTATGCAACAAGAACAATCAAATGATATTCAGCTTACGAATCTCGTCGAAGCCAAGCGGATCTTTCACCTCGAAAAGGGACAGGGCGTTCATGTCATGCGAGTACTTCTGACTCATCTTCGTTCTCTCAGGTGGTTTCGACGGCATTTTTACAAGGTTTGTGTGGAGGGTCCGGGGACCACTCACAAAAACAAAAACAGGTAAAAGTAGTTGTACTTAATAAGAAGTAGTACTACAGGACTAGTAATTTTATTGATATTCGGATTTGATTGTGATTTTTTTGTGTGTAGACGAAGTGGTTCGTTAGTGGAAGAAGTGTTCTTGCGTGCTTCTGGTTGCATGTCTACAGAATCGAATTCTACTTCCTCCTCGCGAACTCGAGAAAACAGTCAGTCTACTGCAATCTGCTATCTCGTCTATGTCTAAGCCTACGAGAAGTAACGACTTCTACGACAAGGCCCCCCTCAACAGTATCCTGCCCGAATGAAACGAAAAGTTCATGAAATCGCTTGACGAATTCGAAAACATCATCTGGAGAGAGTTGCTGGTGATGAAAAATGAGAACGAAATCTTGGACGATGTGGGAGTCGTGACTCGAAAACAAGAATGAAATTAATAATATCGAGCTTCCGCGAAAAGGTGAAGGGCTAGGATGGGAATGGGTATATCTCTCACTCGCACGCTCTGTTTTCCGATCATTGAGAATAAGCAGAGTATTCTCGTTCTAGTGTGATTCGTCACTCGCTCGTCACACGACGATACTCAAAACTCTTCTTGCTCGTCTCCAACGTCTTCCTCTCGTGAAGATGCGCAAAGATACCTTTACTCAGTTGAGTGGTGAATTAACCTCCAACAGTATGATTCAGATTCTCTAGGAGCAGTACGACACGACCAGTTGTTGTTGACGGAAAGTAGTGCAGCTGCATACCGAAAGCGAATGTGCAACTGCAGCTCAGGACAGAGCGAGGCATAAGAGACGGTGACCGAGACCGAAGAGCGAAGGGAATCCGGGTACACAATGCAGCCGACCAAAGTTCACGACTCAACCGAGGAGCTGACGGCAATTTTGAGATTCTTACATAGCTCGGTCATGATAACGAGAGGAGAGTGTCTACCTGTATCGAAAGAGACCGACTGGGATACAATACAATACAATAAAATTTATCTCTTTTTTTTTTGTATCGCGGGCGAGTTCCGATATATCAAAACCTACCTGCGTATTTTGCAAGTGAGCTCCGATAAGTCAGTACCTGCTCACATATTTCCCGCGTGGATACCGGCGTAGGGGGGAGTTCTTAATCTCCTTAACAACTACGCTACTGCCCCTACGATTTTAAAATGCTGAACCCTAGGAGTAAAGGCAGGAGAATTTACACACCTAGTACCTGCCACCGCGAACGATGTCCGTTTCCCCATCACGCGCTTATTGGAAGTGCTAAGTTTATGGGCCGCGGAACGATGTCCGCTTAACCAAATTAAATAAGTACACAAGGGCCCTAGGTGGATCTGCGCGGCAACTGATTGCTGGAGGAAACTAGAAGATTTTTTGACTAAGTAAGAACATGCATGTTATTTAAATTGGTGAAGGAACGTTAAGTGCTAGGGGGCTTAAATTTTCTTCATCTTCATGCGTCATTTTCTCCTTGTGGCCGGCTCCTCCCGCTATGCAGCCGATGAGAGAAAAAAACAAAAAGCAAAAAACTGGAGGACTGACTCCGACCAAAGGGGCTACCTTATGCCTGATAGCCACAACCGGGCGGGAGATAAAAAATCGGTGGGGGAGAGCGATGGGACGCTCTCCCCCTTTCAATTACTTACGTTGCATAATAATCGACCGTAAGCTCGCTCCCTTTTAGAAGATCGCTCACACTCGTAAATTTTGTCATTTTGAGCGAATGGGAAAAGCACTCAACGCACGACAGACAAAGGAAACCACTCGCGCGAACCTAAGACGATGACGACCTTTGCATAACTGAGATGCGGTGTACACCAGTCAAAGGCCACTCAAACTCTCAACAGATGCATAGATATCTAAACTAAAGTTCAGTGCAGACTGCCGTTGAAAACCAAGATCTAGAGGCTTTGTATCCTATCAAGGTCGACCTATGTGTCGCTGAGAACGAGCAAAAGCGTGTTTGCAATCGTATCGCACAGCCATGCAAGAGAACGAGTATGTGAGTTGAGCGCCCATGAGGAGCGCATGCGAAGCCTCACGCAATAAGACTATCTACTTGCCGAAAAATTTAGACGCGAAAACTGCGTGCGGAAAGAAATCAAACGCAAGACTAGGCTTGGGCGTAGCCATAGTTACGCCAGGTGGAAAATACGTAAAAAACGAAAGCAGATCATTCGACTTTCGATGACGATGATGTCTCTATGGCAGGTAGCTTGTTCACACCCACAACTTTGACCATATTTTTGTGTGTTGTTATCAGTCCGGCCAAGAGTCCGCTCCATAAAAAGACTTCTTCATTCGCAATCGAAAGCTCACAATCGAATAATCCCTTCCCTATGTCGCAAATGTACTTGATAACCTCTAAATTCGCCATTGTTTTCTTCAACTCATTCGCTGGGTCCACCATTTGCCTTTTTAGGAGAGACACCTGGTGAGAAATGGGGAAATAGAAATATGGAACATGTGAAATGGACAATGCGAACTTGCTCAAGAAACCCAAAGTCCTTTTGTGAGGAAAAAAAGGCAGCATCGATCTACTTACTTCAAGATCAAGGAGAGAGAATGTCACTGTACTGCACTAGCATTCAGGATGAGGACTGTATTTAAACGCAGAAGTACAACTTGGTAGTTGTACGAGTAGCAGTACGAGTTTCGTTGACGGCATGTTTGTTGAAAGAAATATACCGCAACTTCGACGAAGGCAAGCGGCAATTGGCAGTAGTTCGCATAAAGCTCTGTCTTGTCTGGAAGCCACTTCGCAGGTATGAGTTTCAATTTCTGGAGACTGGTGAGGTCTTCCGCCAGATCTGCTACCAGATTCAGCCAAAACTCAATGAGGAAGAGGTATTTCATCTGAAAGAGCGCGCATTGTAGTTGTGGGGAGAAAGGTATCTATGCGCTTGATGAAGAAGGAAGCGTAGGCGAGGTGACTGAATGGAACAAACAAAAAGGAAACTTCAGGCAAAGCGTAGACAGAGTTTGTAGAAGAATGACATTTTTATGATATTTGTCGCGCAAAGAATAGTTCAGAGATGATCAACATCACAATGTCAATGTTGGGACAATGCTGATGTCTCCTCGTGATATATACCGGTCCGAACATCTTCTGCGCATCCCTGTAGTCGAGAAAGTGCTTGTACCAGCGCATAAATTTGAAACAGCGCCGTGCCAGGGACAATTGTTTTGAGGCCTTTGTGAAATGTTCATCCGCCTCTTTTCCAATCTTGTGCCTTCGGATGTAGAAACCGATCATCCGACTCAGATACTGAATCACTTTCAAGGCCTTCTCGCGGATAATAGCGTGTTTGATGAATTTGTTCATCACGTCGATGTCCACACCCTTACCATTGGTCAACGGCACGACCAGAAGGCTAACTGGCACCATGATTGATGATACCCGGGGGTTCTTGGGTTCTGAACAGCGAAGGAGAAGCCTGCAAGCAGGTAGAGGATGGGGGAGTGGTGAAGAGCTTCGTGCTCGTGGTGAGAGGCAATGGCACCCGCTCGTATCAAAATGGCGATAACAAATATGCGTGAAGATCGGCAAGCGAGACGCGACTGGAATGAAGACAGGTTGGATCAGCACTCAAGCCGAAGCCATGAACAAAGAGGATAGCAACACTTATATATAACCTTCAAAAGCACTTTATGAGAGAGTGGTCGAAAAAAATTGCTTCACCAGCAGAAATAGAAACTACGTAAGCCAAAAAATCAAAACGATGCCAGAGCAAACTACCAATACAAGATGCCGGAGGAGCAGTGTGCAAAACAATGCAGTGCGCGATTAACTTGTCTTCTTCATTACAACTTGACACCAAAGCCACAGCGACGCGGACCCATTAAGGTTGTTCAGTGTCTCCTTGACTAACTTTCATTTTTCCCCAATCTGTGATGGTGATCGGCCACTTGTCTCGTACTGAGCGCACCCAGGACATTAATACCCACGAACGCGAGAAAAACAGAGTGTGATCCAAAAGACCTCGTCAGGCCGCCTACCCTACACTGCTAGGATCCTACAAGAGCCTGCAGTTACCTGGTGACGCGCATGGGCATAGTATGACCCACCTAGAAAAATCTTCATGTGGTAAATCAGCATCATCAGTTTGAGCTCGGGCACCTGCTCGTCAGGAACATCCTTAGAGCCAGCTACTTTATCCTATCAGATGAACAACACGAAGTCGCACCCTCGAATTGCGGCGCTCGAAGACTCACTTTCTTTCGGGTTTGAGTCAAAGTTCAGACAAACAATATCGTGGTCCCCACAAAATAGTCGTCGATGTATGTATTTTTCTGTGTTTAATGTTGATGTCAGACTTGTACGTAGTTTTTCCAAAGGTGATTGCTAAGTTACAGTCGAATAACTAGGTAATGAAGAAAAGAATGCGTGGTAGTACCTGCGATGACTTAGGCTTTTGCGGTTAATCCGTAGCTGCTACTCCCTACGTCCTTAATTTGGCAGAGAGAGAGTGATCACTACGTCATGATGCAAGTCGAGAATTTGAACTTGGAAAATGCAAGAACAACGTGATACACAAAAACAGATGAAGATGTTGTAGTATTTGTTGTTGTTCTTGTTCATTTCGTACTTTGTTTAATTGGGAGGTACTATTTTGATGTAGTTTATTAGACAGGTGTTGATATAACGATAACATGATAGGCTGAATATGACGAAGATTAATTTGTTCCGCAAAACATTTACAGTCAGACGTACATATGATCACATATGCATTTCTATGTCAAAGATCAGGAATCTGTTGCTGATACCACAAAAGCGGGCACACATGAACGAAAAATGACTGAAATCACTATCACCAATGGGAATTAGCTATTCATTCCTGCGCATGAAGACAAACAACACACGACTAAAATACAACACGGAGACTTCGTATGTTCAAATCTAGCGTGTTAGCTGACAAGGACAAGCTACCTAGTCTCATTTATAATCAAATTTCTATCTCACGCTCACCACGACCATCAGACAAGACAAAATCAATGCGCAATATCTCTCTGCCCCTTCCCCGGATGCAGAGTCCTGGCTGGGTGGCGCCCAGTCGCTGCGAGACACTACACCGGAACCGGAAGTAGCTGCGAGAGGAGCGCTAACGACCGCGATTGCGAAATCAGAGGAAAATAATCTTTCTACAATTACTATTACTATATATAAGTGGATAGTGCGAGGAAAACATTCCAAAAAGTATGTTAGTAGTCTCCTTATATTAATCACCGCCACAAAATTCCACCTGAGCCCACCAGAGCTCGGCCCGCATCTACCTTCCGGCAATTGGCCATACTTTCCGACTCCTTCCCCTGGGCCACGATCGATAGTCTCCGACCGTTTTCTTCGCGCGACAGGCGAAGCCGCCCCCTAGCAGACTCCCAGAAAAGGAGCCAGAAAAATGCCCGACGGGGGTAGGGACGAAAGTAGAAGCTGCGGAGAGAAGTCTGCCGAAAGACGTCTGAGCAGGACGAAGCAAAGGCGTCCGATGAACGACGTCTGCCGCAAGACGTTTCGCTGACGAAAGCCCTCTGCCGGAAACGTCTGACGAAAGACGTCCGACGAAAGACGTCCGACGAAAGACGTCCGACGAAAGACGTCCGACGAAAGACGTCCGACGAAAGACGTCCGACGAAAGACGTCCGACGAAAGCCGTCGGATGAAAGACGTCTGACAAAAGACGTCTGACGAAAGTCGTCTGACGAAAGACGTTCGACGAACGTAAGACGTCCGACGAAAGACGGCCGGCGAAAGACGTCTGACGAAAGACGTCAGACGAAAGACGTCAGACGAAAGACATGAAAGACATCAGACGAAAGACGTCAGACGAAAGACGTCAGACGAAAGACGTCAGACGAAAGACGTCAGACGAAAGACGTCAGACGAAAGACGTCAGACGAAAGACGTCAGACGAAAGACGTCAGACGAAAGACGTCAGACGAAAGACGTCAGACGAAAGACGTCAGACGAAAGACGTCAGACGAAAGACGTCAGACGAAAGACGTCAGACGAAAGACGTCAGACGAAAGACGTCAGACGAAAGACGTCAGACGAAAGACGTCAGACGAAAGACGTCAGACGAAAGACGTCAGACGAAAGACGTCAGACGAAAGACGTCAGACGAAAGACGTCAGACGAAAGACGTCAGACGAAAGACGTCAGACGAAAGACGTCAGACGAAAGACGTCAGACGAAAGACGTCAGACGAAAGACGTCAGACGAAAGACGTCAGACGAAAGACGTCAGACGAAAGACGTCAGACGAAAGACGTCAGACGAAAGACGTCAGACGAAAGACGTCAGACGAAAGACGTCAGACGAAAGACGTCAGACGAAAGACGTCAGACGAAAGACGTCAGACGAAAGACGTCAGACGAAAGACGTCAGACGAAAGACGTCAGACGAAAGACGTCAGGCGAAAGACGTCAGACGAAAGACGTCGGGCCGACTATGAAAGGCGCCGGTGTGACGCTCGCAACCAACGCCTCACTCTGATGCAAAGAAGAAGTCTGACGAGGTGCGTCGGTCTGACGAGCCGCCGTCTGGACAAAAAGCTTCGACCCATCTGACGAGAGACGCCACTCCGACCACGAAAGACGTCAGTCCGACGAAGGGCCTCAGTCTGACGCAAGAGAAACGTCTGACGAAGTGCGTCAGCCTGACGACAGACGTCAGCTTGCCGAAAAGCTTCAGCACGGTCTGCCGCACAGCGTCGGCCTGGCGGAAGGCGTCAGTCTGACGCAGATCGTCTCTCCGGCAAGTTGCGCCTATCTGGCGAAATATATCTGCCGAAAGGCGTTCGATGAAGGAAGAAATCCCACCAGCTGTGCGCACAGCGACCCAGTCAGTCGGCCTCACGAGGCGCCCGATTGTTCTAATTTTGTCAGACTGCCGTGGGGGTCTTGGTCTTGGTCTTGCAAATTCTTATTAAGAATCAACAATTTGCGCGACCCTCCCGGCAGTCCAATGAAAAACCGAATGCAGGCCTCTGCCCATGAGTTGACGGATCTAAGTCGGTTAGCTCCGGCACTCTCGTCGTAGCCTATTTATCAAAGTGAACTAGCTAACCCGCAGGCTGTCTCTAGCTGTAGCCGCAAAAGCAACAAGAATGAAGCCGGGCGAAACTTGTGGAGGCTAGTCTAAAAAGAGATAAAAGGTTACTGAGTGCTCAGCGTTCGTTCTTCTTGTCACAAAAAATGTAGAAAGCAATGACCTAAACATGTTTACCGTAGACGATATTTGCTTCAGTATCAGTGGCGCTCAGTGATTTAGTAATGTTGAAGACAGTTTCATTTGCCGAGTCAAAGTAAACCAAAACCATAAGCCTAATACTAATTCTAATTTACACTCGCACTCCTGCACCTGTATATACTCTACTTCTACTTCATGCGGAGAGCCGAAAAATTTATCAAACAATCTATAGATACAAGCCACGAAACGTTGTCAGAGCGATATTCGTCGAAATCGAGATCGTAATCGGCGTGATAATATTGAGGCAAATCTTCTTGCGTGTCCAACGAATCTGTATCAAAGGAATTCGAATAGATACTACCGACTTTGATTTCGTGGATCATAGGAAATTACTAACCTAAGCTGCATATCCGAAACAACTACCTAGTAATTTCTTACAATTTCATCTATTTACTCAGCACTTACCACTTCTACTCGGACTCGTCGTAACTGATTACACCAAGATTTCTAAGGAGCTGCAGCGCCAAGAAACCTTTTCGAAACGAGCGAAATCACGGCTGCAGCCGTACCTGGAAAGACATTTCCGTTGGTGAAGACCATGTTTCCATTGATGTCGAGCGGCACGTAGTTGTCGCCTCCGAAAGATGAAGAGGGAGGTAGTGTTGCTGCGTTGTGGCTGGACGAGTCAACGGTCGACGTTCCAGAAGCTGCTATTCCTGCTTCTTCCATGCCAGCCGCTGGGCAGCTTCCGTCTGGAGGAAAGAGTTTCTTGTTGGACATCACCGTGGCATCTAGAAGAAAAGCAAGGAAAGTGGCGGAAATGATGCCAAGATTGCTGAATAGAAAGCCGACGTTGAGGCCGAGCTCACGGTACGCCGCTGGAATGCTCTTGCTCGTGTTGAAGAGAAACATACAGTTGGAATAGCAGGCGCCGCCCATGAAACCGACCCAGATCATGTGCACGGCCATGATGTAGTAGCCGGCATCGTCGCCCGCAGGGAACAAGTGTCGGTGCAGCTGGACAAACGCCTCCGTGTACCACAACATCGTGTTGATCAGTTGGATGACCGTGAGAATCCAGACCCGCTGGATGCGAAACAGCGCGACGGACGCGCGCGAAAGCGTCACGCCTACGTTGTACAGGCACCAGTAGACGGTGTACGCGTCTGTCGCGATGAACGATTGACTCGTTGGGCAAAGTGTCACGCGGTCGAGCGCTCCCGACATGATTAGATACTCCAGAGAGTACACCGCAACCATATTCATCATGATAAAACGGCACTTGGTGACCACCTTCCTGAAATTGCGCCACGTAAGGGCGATGCTCTGTGGTTGCTCCGATGGGGATTGCGCACCCGACATTTTCATCCTGCTGCTATTTACATCAGCGTCAGCCCCATCATTGGGCTCTCTACTCACGGCCGCAACACTTTCGTCATGTTGCTCTTGCTCACCTACATCTCCATGCTTCTGCGCATTCACGTTGGTATTCGCAGCCGTTAAGGAGCATGTGCTGACAGCGTTCATTCCGCCGTTTTCATCGATTCCACCTAAAATCGACTCTCTACTCCTTGACCGTCGCGAAACGGGCACGGAGACGGGGCTCCGCAACAAGTTGTCGATTTGTGGAATCGAGGACGTCCGAAAGACAGGCACAGCAGCTTCTGGGTACATGAGATCTCCACCTTGCTCGAGAATACTCGTCCTACCCGCCACGCTCCGCCTACTGGGAGACCGGCGCTTAGGTGGAACCACGTCTGGCGCTGGCTCGTCTTGATTCGGAGGAACGTCGGATCCCGAACCCGCAGATGTTGATGCCGTACTTGCTAAGGAATTTGAAGAAGCTACTCCAGAGGAGCCCTGGTCTCCTGTCGTTGTAGCACTCCCACTTCTTGATGAGGAAGAACTATTGCCAGAAGATGACACTGCATCCCTTGTCGTGCTAGTATCACCGCTGGTGGTGCTTGCTTGCTCCGTATGAGTAACGACGGTTGTACTGCCTGATGGCGCAGCCTGGTTTTCGATCGGAACATGTGGTCTTTCTACTACCTCATTGTCAGAAGCGAAACCTTCCTCCTCCTCCTCGAAATAGGCGGCGTCGTACTCATCACGAGCTCGAACGATAGTCCAGAAAAAGAAGAAGTAGAGTGGTAGGGTCGCAATCAAAAACCAACACACCTGACCGGAATTCAGGCCAAGCCCGGTGGTTAGTGCAAGGTAGATTGAGGGTCCGAATATGCCGGACATGCCTGAAGATCGTGGGCGCAAATGTGAAAGTGACACCAGATATCTGTATCTGACAAGGATGAAGTTCCATTTTGAGGCGGAACTCAATATTTTTGCCAGCTTCTTGGGCAATAACTTGTTCAAGTAGTACATCTACATCGCATCAACTACACGTAGCCTTTTCATCAAAAATAACCTGTCCCCGCGCCCCAGCTGCTAAGCATCGTCGGAGCAAACGCGCGGAAGAGCCCCAGATTGAGGACTTCACCAGCAGCACTCGCACCACCTAAGAGCATGGACGCGCTCACACAGAGAAAAAAGCCAGCTGCCGTTCCCTCCAGGAAGTGGTAAGCGAAAATGATCACCAAGTAACCGAATGTGATCAGCGTCAAAAGCATGGAAAGTCGCCTCGTCTCTGTGGAGAAGCCGACGCAAAGCTTCGCATTCAAGACAATGCCCGCAAGGCAACCAACCGTGCCCATCATCGTCATCAATGACACATCGTTTACCTGGAAGATACATTCATAAGAAACAAGACGATAAGCAGGCGACTATACAGACGTACAACAAGAAACACAACAAGAACATCATGAGGGTCGTGGTGAGAAATGACGATGTATATGTACTTAAGTACGTACATGTTGGCGAACTACACATGAACGAAATCGCGATTAGTTCCTGTACGGACGTTCCTAATAGTACTCGATCAAAGTCAGCCGCCACTTTTTGCGCCGCCCCTAGCAGAACGCAAAAGCTCGCGTTATTCAGTGTTCCGCATAGCGTACCGCAAACTACGAGACGCAAACTTGCTGGTTGCAAATCTATGGGAGACGCCTCTCCCCCACCCTCTTGTTCGGCCTTGAAGGAGGCTGCTGACCAAGAGGACATCATGCGACGCATGGGCATGTTTTCTTCTTCGCTGGAACCGTTTGCGAGTGACCTTCGGCTCACTGACCTCTGTCGCCCAACGCCAACACCTAGAATAGACGCCCGCGAAGACGGACAACTGCCGCCAGCGGCGCCGAAGATTGAGGTTCGACTGCCCCCGCCACTGGCAAAACTGCTTCGCGGCATCACCATGTTGCTGAAGCCGAGTCCGACAACACTAGTCACGTCGACCGGCCCGTCCGGACCAAACGCCATGGGCTCGAGGTCGAGACCCTCGCTGCTCGCGCTACTTGTCCGTCTAGAATCGGTCTGCCTGTCAAACTCGGCGGACGACGCAAACGCTACTGTCTTGTTCAGGTTCAGCTGGCTCAGTCCGTTCGCCAGAGACATTTCACCAGGAGGACCTGACTCATCTCGTCCACCAGGTCCCCCAGCTGCTAAGGCTGCCTGATCGCCGTCGTCGCCAACCGCGCAGCACTGATCACTTAGCAGCGGTCTCTGCTTGTCGGCAAGCGGTGACGGAATGGCGCCATTTTCCGCCGTTGCTTTCGAGGTAGTAAAAGCAGTTATTGCGTTCGTTGTGGAGCTAAAAGGCCCTGCGGCTTTAAGCGCACCTTTACGAGGTGGTGATTGCTCATTCGCTGTCGCCGCGTCTGGCGACGGAGAAAATGTCATCTTTTCGCCTCGCAAATAAACTCAATTAGCTTTACAGGTTTCTGATCGAGTGGCAGTGGGCTGCATACTCTTATTATTTTTTCATCCTCATGCTCATCTTCTGATCCCCAGACCAACACGATCGCATAAACGATGCAAACAGAAGTACCAGCACGGGGAGAAAGTCTAGCATGTCCAAAGATGTAAGTCAACCTCAGCTACGTGAGTACAATGTTGGTGGACGTGAAGCAGGCCTAACTAGAAGAAACAAAAACCGAATAAAAAAGGAAGGCCAGCAGGCAAATACTTATCTACAGCTATTAACTAAGTGCCGGCGCTGTCGTGGTCCTGTCAGCCCCAGAGGTCTCACCTTCGAAGGCAGGCCGGAGCCCTGTGCAACGCCTCCAAACGAAATCATCAATCACAGTCGCTGTGCCTCGTACTCGTTATGTATCAGTTGAGGCAAATAAGTAGCTTGAATGTCTCAACACCCTCTGCGGATTTCATTTCCTCTACGTTGTGGATGCACCATAACGTAAGTTAATAAGGTGCTTGCCTGCACCTGCGTCCTTTCTTAAGGGCAAGCTTGTTCGGGTACGTTGAGTGTTCCATGATCGTCGTCCTTAACAACTACTAGTAGTATTACGTACCTGTTTCGTGAAGACAAAAATCACAGATTTCTCTAAACTTCATTCCGTGACAAATTCAACAACCAGCGTCTGGTGGGGTACTTTTGCTTTTCTCCCTCGGTTGTGCTCGCACAACGCATATTGCCAACGCGACAGGAAACACTCGTAGAAACAAAAGTACACGATTACTTTCTGGACCGCGACGTATGCTGGGAAACCGAAGCCGAACTTCGCAGAAATGCGCTTCATCTAGTGTCTAAACGTTACGACGCGCAAAAAAAAACCTGAACAAGAAGCTTGATGCTGAAGCAGGTCCACCACCGACACCTGGAGCTGCTGAAACCACGATTTTCACTTTTACATGAGTATCGTAGACCAAAGACACGACGCTCATTGTGGCTGTATCGGCCTTCCACCATGCTCAAGCAACAAAATCCCAATGCCATAATGTTAATGTACATCTCCAATAAAATCTGTTCATCTTACCATGCCTATCTAAGTAACATTCTCGTCTCCAGAGTGGTCCATGTCGTTCGAGTCGGTTATCATTAATCATTGCGAATATTACTAAAAACAAATAGTATTCACATTTTCCAAATTGGATCTTCCTCTATCATTTGCCAAAGTGGTTTTATATGCCTACGCACTCAAATCAAGAGTACTGTTCAAGATTCAACTGCAAACCGACTCACAGGTATTTTTCGAGAATCCATCATACCATTAAAAATCCTCGTCATAACCAAAGTCTGTGTGCCTCTGTTATGATCATTCGTGATCTACGTAGGGACCGAATGGCAGCCAAAGTCTACTTCTTGGATTTCCATTATTTCATTTTTCATTCGATACTATTATTCATTTTGAAGTACAAGAGATGCATAGGCTTCTACTTCGGAAGACAATTTTTGGCCATCACAATAGGTATAGTAGTTGTCACCTTTATTTTATTAGCAGCATGATAATCATGATAATCATACATAGTGCAAAGAAATGGTAATTGAATTGGAATTGCCGTAATTCAGGTTAAAAGGTATGAAGTTGACAAGAACTAGTTCTAACTATTATATTTCATCCACTTGATGGTGCATGCTGGTATTTACAAATCATATAATAATCGCAGTCGCAGGATCAACACGAACACATCCTGCTCATCTTCCTCGCGAAAGTAGTAGACGGTATTATTTCTTATTTTGCTCATTTACAACCGTCCACGTTCCGTCCAAGCTAGTGTGCATGGTTTTTCCAGGTGGCTTCATCAGCTTCGCATACAAACTTGCCCTTGCTGTTCCTCTGCCGCTATCAATTGGAGGAGACTGAGATTTGGCTTCTTTCATATCCACGCGAACGTCTTCTTCACGAAGAGGAGCCTCGTTACTTGTTGTTCCAGTTTCAATATCCATAGAAGAAGCCTCTCCTTCCCCTGCCGCTGCTCGAGGACGATGACGGGCATGAGAGGGGGCTGTAAGCCCCGAAACAAAGGTTGTGCTGGTGTCTGGTTCCCCTGACATCAAGCCCGCTCCAATTCGTGGAATGTTTTCCTTACTGTTGACCGGACTTGCTGCTCTGTTGACCGGATTTCCTGGTCTCTTGATGGCAGGTCGGAAGTTGTCAACAGCAAGGCCGTGCGGTAATTGCTGTGATGATCCTTGCGAAGATGCTGCACCTCTTGGACCTATACCAATAGAACCACTCGTGTGTTGCTGGCCGGCCGAGGTGGAGGCTGCACTCATCTTCGTGAGCAGGCGGGAGCGAAGACGGCGCGCACGATGAAGAACGTCTAGACTATGTGCGAACTCGGCATCCAAAAGCGGAACAGCATCCGCCGCGTCCAGGGCGATAGCTCGAGCGTACGCAGCTGCCGGAATCCGAACAAAGCAGACTTCGTCCGACGCCAACCAGGCAGAAATGTGCGGTCGCCATACGTTAGTGCTCTGATATACATTCAAAAGACCCTCATCAACGGAGAGCGTTGCTGCAGCGGTCGTCATTTTGTTCAACTGGGCAGATGAAGGTTGCGGCGACGTAGATGCACGTTCGGGAAAATCTTCATCCAGTACAGCGCCGGCGGCGTTTACCGCGACAGGAACGCTGTCTCCGGGACGCTGGGCTATACTACCAGACCGACGCGCCTCGTCAGAGATAGCACTAAAATTGAACGCGACCCTGCTCTTCTTTGCGGCGTCTCTGACCTTGCTGTTGCTTAGACTTCTACCTCTATTAGTACGCATCCCCTGGTCATATGATCGACCACGACCTCCACGAGTAGTAGCCTCGTTTTGATCATATTCATATGTGAAATCTTTTCTCTTACTACAAGGTAAACGGGATGGGGAGGCAGCTGCTGTAGTTCGGCCCCTATCTTCGTTCTCTGTAGGAGCGATCTCGCCATCCTCGTTATCAGGTAGAAACAGGAGAGCCTCCTGCTCTTGATTTTTTGATATTCTTGTCGGTGCCGCAACAAGCAGGGTCTTCGATTGAGTACTGATCTTCTTGCTTGGTGAGAACTGGCGTAACTCGTTCAGCTTTGTGGCTGCTGATGGTGGCGCGCGATGTCGTTCAATGGTCACCGACACGGACTCTATCCCCAACACGGTGTAAGGTCCACACTCTTGTTCTAGCGAGGGAAATACGTTGTATTGTGCGGCGAAATTTCCTCCATTTCCAAACGCGCCGTCGACTCCCTCGGGCACCATCATGCTGCAGTACATCATTCGAATCACGCCTGAAAGGACGACAATGACTTCTGCTTTTGATTCCTGTCCCGCCTGCAAGAGCCAGTCATTCTGGTCTTGCGGAACTGCCGCGGTGCTGACCGACCGCTTTCTGACTTCCACCGTAGCGGCAGTTGCCAGAAGCCAGTGTAACGCCTTCTGGGAGATCCATCCCTCTCCTGTGGGACGATTCTGGAACCGCCACGGCGTATTTGGACTTCCTGTCACATCATGGTTTGACATCCTCGAACTCGTCATGTTAGTGTTGGTGTTGAGAGCAGAACCTCCTCGGGGTAGTTTGTTTGAAAACATCAACTCCGGCCCTGGGTAGTTCTCTCGAAGGTGCGCAGTAAGGAAGGAGATCTCGGGCGCAGTGAGTGGCGAGGTTCCCAAGCCTTTGTTCAGCATTCGTAGAGCCATCGGATCCAAAAGCCCGCCTTGCTCGACCCATCCAGGTGTTTTCGACACGACGAGACTCCCCAAGGCAGATGTTGCACTGGTACCACGTGGTGGATTCGGTTCGACGGATGTTAAAGCAGCGGTAGAAACCTGTTTTCTCTTCGGCTGATCGTCACCTTCTTGCAGCTCGTCTAGCGCAACCTGCAAAAATTCTTTGGTAAACATCTGGTGTAGTTTTGGTCTGGTCGTGGTATGTTGTCTGTTGGCATCATTCGGCTTGTCGTTTTCAACATCGAGCTGACTAAAATCTGCAACTTTATCCCCAATTAGCCTCGTGTCTTCAAGACCCAGCACAGCGGCGCCCCCAAGTCTTGCCTTAAGGAGACCGGGTAGAGTATCTGCCGTTACTTTTTCTATCTCTCTATCTTTTTCGTCACGTATTTCGTAGCCCAAAATTTCTTCTAGTACATCTTCGAGCGAGAAGACACCGAGAATCTTTCGCTCCGTCCCTTGCGCTTGTTCTGGTTGTTCCGCAAAAACGAAGCCCAAGTGTCCCACTCCTCCCGAAAAGAGTCCGAGCGCGAAGCCGCACGTGTGCTCTTCGGAAAAGCGTAAGTAGCTCCGAGCGAATAGCATGAGAAATTCTGCCAACGGCACTTTATCCGCAGGATCGACCAAAATCAAATCCTTCACGAGGAGAATTGCGACGACGTCGCTGCGATTCTTCTTGTATACTGGGACTCTGGAGTGGCCGGCTTTCCAAACCAGCGCTACTGTGTCGTAGTCTAGAACCGCGGTGAAAGGCAGCATGAAGACGTCATCCAGTGGCGTCATGATCTCGGTCACCTTCTTCGTTCGGAAAGACAAAGCACCCTGCAGCAAGTCCTCCTCAAGCCCGGTCAGTTGCGCGCTCTGTACCTGCAGCTTCAGCATGTACATCAGCTCTGCTCGGGAGTAGGTTGTCGCGATCTCTTCCCCCAGGAGTATATCGAGCAATTTCGCAATCGGAAAGGAAACCGGGAAGAGTATTAGGCCAATCACGTAGACTATCGGAATCGTATACGCGCCTACAACCAGAGCGTAGCGGGAACAAGCTGATTGTGGAACAATCTCGCCGAAGATGACAATTACTGCCGTGGATACAAGGAAGCCGACGAATCCACCAGCCATGTTTCCCATGAATATCGCCAAGGCCGCATTCACCATGACGTTTCCCAGAAGCAGAGTACACAGCAGCAGGTTGCCTTGCTTCCGTACCGGATAGATCTTCTTCGCATATTCAGCTTGTTGCGGATCGTCTCCGTTGATCACAACCTCTAAGCCGGAGAGATCCAGACCCAACAAACCCAGCGTCAATCCCGAAAACAAACCACTGAGCATAACTAGCACAACGACCATTAAGAAGTCGGTAATAGTAGGATCGGCGGGCTTTTTGAAGCCGCAGTAGCCTGCGGTTGTCGCCCCGCACAAACATTCTTCGTCCAACGAGCACTGGAGGGCGCTCAGCGCAACTGTAGCATTCGACATCAACGACATCTTGATCTTGCAGCTCGGGACAGGGACGAGAGCGACAGTAAATAATAATTTATGATTTTGTGGCTGATGCTAATGCTAACAACAACAAATCTATTCCGTTGAATGATGAGATGTAAAGAATCGAAAAAATAAGCCGATCTTTATGTTTATCTCCAGATAAGAGGAATGGTGTCTACCATTCAAGATTTTGGAATGTATGAAATCGAAATGAGCGAATATCAAGCTCGAGAAGCTTCACAGGAAGGAACCTCAACAAACACAGGTAAGGCATAGAATGAAAATACCCCAACACGTTGTCGAGGAAGGTCGAATTGTGATGTTGTATGAATAACAAGCTAATCTTGATAAAAACTAAACCAGTAACGATAATGTCTTCGAAAATCGACGAAAACACAATATTGGAGAGGGACATGAAAGATCTATCAAAGATCTTCAGAATTAGAGTTCTGCAGGCCTAGAAGATATAAAAATGGAGCAGGATGAGCCGACAATTTTATGTCGGTTTGCATTTACCTCACTCAAACAATTCAGTATTATCTTCACAACCAGAAAGCACTCAGAGAAAAGATAGAAAGACGCATTGACTCACAAAATTGGAATGCTCATCCCTCAAAGTCAAACAGGAGAGACATCCAGAGGACTCAGTTTGGACAGAGGCTGTTCAATCGTTATCGTTTCTTGTGTCAATCCGCATCGTGATCATGGACAACATGACAACGTGTCGATCATGTTCATCTCTCACTATGACGACAACTCTCCATCTCAATCGCTCATCAATGACAGAGATGCGACAGGAGAGAGCTTCTACCACCAAAGAAGTATCTATGACAGATGAAGGTGCCACTTCTACACTCAAGAACAGGCTCGCGAGTCAAAAGCGGTGGAAAGATATTTCTCCATGGTTAAGACCTACGACTACGAGGAAGATTAGGAATTTTATCGCTCGTCTCTCATGACTTTCAAGCGGTACACAGCAATTGATCCCAGTGCCGCTGCATGCTCGTTCTGCACCGAAAGCAAAATCTTCTTGAAGGTCTTCCTTCTACTACTTGTTCTACTCAATACTCAGTTCTTGTATTTTATCGTCCTCGTGTTGGAGTAGTTGGTGTTCAGGGATTTATCAAAGGCGCTTCAACAATTGCATGGGAGGTAACAGTAGCCGCACTGAGCAACATGTGTTTTTGAGAATCTCTGAGTATGATGTTGTTGTCTGCTACTGTAATGTACATCTACATCTTGATGTCCAACTCTATCTCTAGATGGCGTTGTCGGTCTTTAGGTAATGTGCTTCACCGTGGCTCATGGGTATGAGATAATTGAACCAGTTATACAGAGAGGACCCAGCCAGACTGTACAATTAGATACTTATGCAATATGGCAATAGCCTCTACATGGGTTTGCTTCGATTCGGTAGTGTGTTTTGCTGTAATCGTTGCGGGAAGTTGCGGCCATGGCCATGTATGTATGAAGACCACTAGTGGCCATGGGTATGGATATGGTTTTCATTCGCTTATTTATTAATGCAAGTCTTTGTGTGCTGTCGTTTCGCTCAAATCAAATCCTGTGTTCGTACTGATTCTTGCATGCTCATGTGGATGTTAATAATGGAAATCTGGATATTTCTAGCAAGTAGTAGCTTGCTAGCCAAGCGAAATGGACGTAAACCTAAACGTAGACTGACTTCTGACATTCGATTCCTTGGAAACTATGGATAAATCGAGAAGATCAACAATGTGGTTACAGTTTGAAATGTGTAAGAGTATGTTGCTAGTGCTGATAGCTCATGTTCTTTTGTATAATTAGCGTCGTTAAGATTTACGAGTTCGGGGTGATGCGGTTTATGCTTAGGGCAGCTACATTCATTGACTTCATAGAGCTAGAGGATAGACATTTGAAGTGACAATACCATGGACATGGAGGAATTTACTTCTATTTTTCCTGTGTTGCCGCGACAGCGACATTTAGTGCAGCAATACTGACAGTTGCGTCGCTTTCGATGGAACAAAAGATGCCACATCAGCCTTCTTTCGCCGACGTGGTAGCATTCCATGGAGGTAGTAGTGCTTTATGAATCTCAGCAAAAGCACAAAGGCTTCGTACGGAAGGCCTCCGCCACTTCCGTTACGATCTCGGCCTTCGTCTTCGTCGTCATCTTCACGGCCTCGGCCCTTACGGCGGCGGTCGAGTTCCAACAGTCGCAGTAACGGTGAAGCGACCGGCTTCATGGATTTTTTCCGTGATGGACTGCCAGGCATTTTATTACCTCCGCTCATGGCTGAAGTCCGGCTCCTATTTGTTGTGCCTCCATTTCCGGATGACTCAGGCCGACTATTGCGCCCCCGATTACGGGTATTCTTCCCATCACCATTAGCCAAGGATGCGAGCATGTTCCAGACATCAATCAACTCCTGCCTTGGAGGAAGACGCAACACTTTGCCACCTTGAAATTCACGGGCACGCAAAAATGCGTCGCCATTGATGAGCTCTTCCAGGACATCGCTTCTTGGAATGCGACTAATGTAGAAGTCCTGGACCTGCGTTGTGTAAGTAGTTGGATTTTCTTTTCATTCGGGGCATCGCACCATCATCAATCTAGATCTCCTACTTTCAACGAGGATAGATTGTGACTTCTTGTTGTGGTTGTGCATCATCGGGATTGTCAAAAAAATTGAATAAAGTACAAAGAGACTGAGACCACGAAAAAGCTCAATGCGATAAAGTGCAACGGGAAATCCAAGAGTAAAAATGTGATGCATAATCGTACCTCAAGAAATGTCGCCAGGACTTGCCTCTGCGTATCCGCAAGCTTCCTAAAGACGTTGTAGGCCGACAAACCGACGTCTGAGTGGAGAGTAGCAAGACCTGGGTAGTATTCAACAGGTTTAATCAGAGCTATGTTGGCCGCTTCGCGCTGCTCCCTTCTGCACTTCGCTTGCACAGCCCTACAGAAGTGTAAAGCATGCGGGAATCCAAAATCCGGACCAAATGAGGACTTCAAGTACGCCATCTGAACCTCGAGCCAGTTTCGATTATCCGTGGAATCCTTGCAGGCGGGCCAGACGGCGGATACAAATTTCTTTACTCGATGCGCTGAAATATCCAACTTTACCTGGAAGTATTTGCTCAGATAACTAGACAAGGAATCAGAGACATTGACAAGTAGAAAATCTGAAAATAGGATAAGAAGTCGACGAAGTATTCATCCTCATCACGATCACAATCACCAGAATCCTATTTCCGATCAAAATCAATTTGCCTATGCTATCTTCAAGACGAATCGAAATCTAGTTTTTTCTCCCTGGCTCTAGTTGTCGTCCTTATCGCGTCCCCGTAAAAACCACAATAAGTGATCTAGATGAAGGTTAGTTGCGAAGATGAAATCACATCACCTTATTGAAGTACAATCGGTTCCGGGTATCTTGGTTTTTCCTGGGTCATTGGCTTTGTGCCGTTGTAAAGTCCTTGATCCAGTTCTTTTGTTGAATCGATCGTCTTATACGGGTCGTAGGGGCTAAAGTTTAACGACACTTTTGTCAAGGACTCCATCTTTTTTGCAGCTCCTGCTTCCGAGGATGACGCACCAGAAAAGGACGATGCACCTCCGGGAGTACGAGGCACGACGGGAGGACCTTTGAAGCCAGCGGCTGGACCTTGTGCGACAAGTGCGAGACTGCGGGCAGAGGTTGGGGAACGTACAGCAGAGGGCTGCGGAGACGCCGTTGGGGAAGCACCTGGAGTAGCAGACGCGGAAATAGCCAAAGAAGAAGGGCATGCAGCTGCGATCGTTCCTGAACGACGAAAGAAAGGTGAGACTTTCGCTGGAGGTGTTCCTGGCGCAGCTGCTTCCGCCAGTTCAGCGCTGGTAGGGCTTCCCGCTTTTGGTGAGGCTCCCTCAAGCAATGCAAGGAGCCCGCCGCCTCCAGAGGATTTGCTCGCGGGAGATTTGGTTAGCGCCAGAAGCCCACCACCACCATCGCCACCGGTCGGTGTTTCAAGAGCAACACGGGCTTCCTTCAACCGCCTCTGTTTTAAACGTCGATGACGGCGACCAGCTACTGGTAACGTCTCATGGCCCTTATCGATGAGGCCAAGCACAGTTAGCCGTGATTTAGGCATCAAAACTCCGCTCGATGCGAGTATGTAGTGTTCGCGATCAATGTCGTCCGAACGGTCCGAAGCCGAGCTATTGCCAGATCTACTACCACCTTCACAACCGCTGATTCTGTTGCGTCTCCCTCGTTCGCCTCCGGGGTGATCATCAGGGGAACCGAAAAATTTGAAGGTTAGAATCTCATGCTCCAGCCAGCGTTCCGCCTGTCGATCTGAAGGAACCGAGGACGGCTCGCTGCGAATATCTGACAGGTCACGTCTTCCAGCACCTTCATCTCCACATGCAAGGTGACGACCTCTGCTTGGCAGAGCAATGATCGGTGGTATTGACGGGCCTTTACTTTGGTCTTGTTCGTTTTGTGGGGACACAGTTTGTTCGTCTGCTCCCCGCCCCTCGATGACATCGTCGAGGAGTCCTAACGTTTGCGCCTTCTTTACGATTTTCATCTTCTTTGCCGCTTCCTCGGTCTCCCGCGTATATTGTTCCTTCATTTCTGCCAGCAGCATGTTCTCGCGGATCTGCGAGTACGGCTGAATGCCAAAGCTGGTGGTCCCGCAGGCAAGCTGCGACATGTCCATCATCGTGAGAGGTGTAAACTTCGGATCTAGACCAAAGAATGCGCAGAAGTACTTCTTTTTAGAGCTTCCTGGAATCCATCTTGAGTGTCATCCTGGGCTTGCTTTTCCCTTATAGAGGAAGGTCTCAAGATGCTTCTGAAGATGGATTCCCTGAAGCCTTAATCTTTACTGCCCTTTGCTCAGCCATCGAAAAGCCTGCGTCGCCTTCGTATTTTAGAATGGCCCGCTCTCGGCAAATACGCAGGTAGCCGACCAAGTCGTGCCATCGGATCTCCACCTTTTTGAGGAGCACTTCTTGGAAGATGCCACACTCCTTCATGAGCACGCGAAGCTGTCGTGCTAGTTCCGGCTCGGGGAACGCATGACCCCGACCCGAATTGCCGCCTCCGCCAAAGTGTGGATGCTGCTCCGCAGAGGTGCCGAGGTCACCCGGCGGATGGTGGCCTTCCTCGTGCGCGGCTGCCGCGGCGCCGCCCGGTGCGGGCGGTAGCGATATGGTCCCGGTCGCTATTGCGGCCAAGTACGCTTTGGTGCGGAACGGCTTGGTCGTTTCTTCTTCGTTCATCGTGGTCGAGAGCAGCTTGAAGAACGCGGCGTTGCTGATGCTGTGCCGCGGATGCGGCATAAACAGCGTCCGTGTCAACATGTGATACAGGTGCCGCTTTCGCTGAAAGGCGCTGGCATTTGTCGAGAAACTTCGAGTGCTTGAGCCACAAGGCCCAGGAATGTCTTCGGCCAGGTCTGCGACGTACGCTTTGAAAAAAGCCTTGTGCCAATCCTTCAGCAATCGGTTCTCGAGTCGCCGGATCAGCTGCAACAGCTCTCCTAGACTCAGGTTCTCGAAGGTCTCCCGCATGAGGGCGCGGTGAACGCGGCCGTGCTCGTACGGCGCAAAGCACCACGCGATGACGAACTCAACGACCTTGCGGTTCGGCAGCTCGGACACGCCCGTGTCTCGATTCATCACGGCGTTCTGCGCAAAGATCTTCTCGTACAAGCTGCGCAAACGAGGACCGAAACCGCTACTGGTCTGGACATGCCCTAGAAAACGCAAGAGATTTTCAAAGGGCACTTCTAGCTCATCCGGCAGTTGCTCTTCCTCGTCGTCGCTGTACTCCACCTGCGGCGCCTCGGATTCGTAGCGCTTGCGCGGGTCTGCGGCATCCTCTGGTTTGGTCGCTTCCTTTTTCGCGTCGCGCTCTTCTGCCGCCTTAACGAGCACATCGGATGCCTCCACGCCCAAGGCGGCGGCCTGCTCATGCAACTTTGTCAGGGCAGCGACGCCACGCATCGTCTTGTTCTGCCGTTTACTGCCCATCTTGCCCAGCGATGCGAACTTCGACAAGGCGGCTGCTGCTCCGCTCTTCGGTGACAAACCTTCCACCGTGCTACTGTCTACTGATGCGTTCAGTGTCTCTTCGCTGATTCCCGCAGCTGAGGCCATCAACGCGGCCAAAGGGTTTTTCTTCTTACCTTTGGCGGATGAAGATGGAGTGCCGGCTTCTCCCAAGCGACCCAACAAACCACCCGCCTTGGTCCCTGTAGCTGGTTTATCGCCCTGTTCGTCGCCAGGAGGTGAAGAAGCCACTTCTGGAGTTGGGCTAAGACCGACAACTTCCGCGGCGCCGGACTTCATCATACTTGCGAAGCCACGACGTTTCATGCCACCTAGTGATCCTCCACCTAGTATCGGCAAGCTTTTTGATCCGGCAAAAGACATCGACATATCTGCGTCGGTGGCTGTGCAGGATGATGAGAGCATTCCTGCTGGTGTAGTCATACCACTCGTGATACCACCACCCAGTCGACTGGTACCAGCTGGCGATGAAGATCCCCCAGTCGAGGTCCCTCCCGCCAAAGCTCCGCCAAGTAGAGCAGCAACTCCTGTAGCCGCGTGCTTTGCTGTCCCGCCATCACCAGCCTCGCCCGGCGTCTGCTTCTTCATAGCTGCTCCAAAGATACTTGCCAAGCCACCACCGCCAGCCTTGCCGCCGGATGCCTTGAAAAACATTCTCTTCATCAGTTTGGCTTGCGCTCGAATTTCCCGCGAAGCCTCGCGCTTGTCGGTTTTTGCAAGCATTTTCTCGATTCGCGTCTCAACTTTGGGTCGCACCGTCGTGTAACTTGCGCGGGAATTGCGCGGCAGCTTCAGCATGGTATCAATCAAGTGCCCTACCTGCGATATCATGGGTGCTCGTGCCAATTTTTTGCGGTTCGTGCCTAACGGCAGCACTCGGTTCTCCACAACCGCGTAATAGAGGTCTAACTCCTGTCGTGCTCCCGTCTCACTGAGAGGCGCTTCATCATCGAGACAGTGTCGCATCACTGCTGGAATTTGCGCGCCTTCATTCACACGCGTTGCATGCTGCTCCTTGCGGTTCTGATGCTGTTGCTTAGAGAGCGGCCCGAACACACGCGCGTGAAGCGTGTAGTCCGAGCGCCGCGTTGCTGAGCGAAAACCGTCTTCAGAGAAAGAACGAGGAAGCGTCTTAACAAAGGTGCTTCCTTTTTTGGCACTGGGCTTGCCGCTCGCTGCAGCAGTGCCAGAAGAAGCAGAAGCGTTAGCAGAAGCTCCAGCTGCAGTCCCCGTTACGTTAGCATTTCCGGAGGTGCTAGTTGTCGCGGATGCATTCCCGGCAGCAGTGGTTCCAGCAGCTTTAGCCGCAGCTGTGCTACCGTCTGATTTTCCTTTTTCGCTTTTGCACCCGGGGATGGATCCATTTGCGCTTGGATGCGTGAATGGCGTCGTATGTGGCTCCAAAAGAAGAGTTGTCCATCGAGGAAAATTTCGTCGAGAGTAAATGGGTTCTTCAGAGCGTGCACGACGTTGCTTCGGCCGCTGAATGCGGCCAAAAGAGTCTAATTTCGGCGGCTTCGGTGGTTTTTCTTTTACTTTACTTTTAGACTTTCTCAGAAACCCAAGCACATGATCTGATTTCTTTTGCGCCTTCACTAACCCAAATATGCCGCCGACGGGTTTTTTCTCGACGCCGCGACCAAAGAGTCCTGAGAGCTTGCTCAAATCTTTTGCGGGTGATGCGATGGGAGAGAGCGACTCGGTGCCCGCTACAACGTTAGAGAAGGGAGACTGGTCGCTGCGTGTTGGTCCCGCTCCAAAACCTTTGAGACCACCTAAGCGAGCTCCAAGGCCACCTCCGCCAGCGCCCCCAAGTGGCACCAGCGGCATAGCACGTCCTGCAAATGGCGAGGCAGGGGAAACGGGGGACGCAGGACTCACGGTTTGGTCCTTCCCAAAAGGCGGACTCTTATTCCCAAAACCAAAGAGACCACCAAGTTTAGACTTTACAGGCGCAGGCTCGGCAGCATTCGCCGACGCTGGTTTCGAAGTCTCTATGTCATTCATCGTAGCGGAAGAATCTGCAGCTTTCTCATCCTGCTGAGGTCTTCCGCTCTTTGCGGCGGATGATGCACTGGCCCCGTCATTTGGCGACGCACTCTCGCCTTCGTTGCTGCCTTGCAGATCATCTTCATCGCTCTGCTGCGACGACGAATTTTGAGAACCCGAACCAGACCCGCCAGAAGAATCGTTTTCGTCTCCGTCGCTTGAATCATCCGACGATGATGACGAGT